GGTGTGTAACCCCTTGCGAACGTACCCGTGAATAACCAAGCACCCATATGTAGAGCGTTTTCTAATCGTTACCACCCCAGCAAGCCAGACACGATCAGCCAGACACCTGCACGTACCCATGTGTACCTTTGCAGGATACTTGCGACGTCGTCAGCATCGAGACATATAGGCCTCGGGGTTCCAAAACAATGTGCTTCGTGACTCCATGCAAAGGCGCAACACACGGTTCAGGAACCAAAACCACAACAACCACCACTGAAATATAACAACTACCACTAACTACCACCGCTCAAATAACAAAGACAACAACACGGACACCACCTGTCCACATAGCCCCCGTGGCGTTACAGTGCAGGTGAGGCGAGGCAGGCGAGGCGAGGCAGGCGGGGCAGGTGAGGCAGGTGAGGTGAGGCAGGTGAGGTGAAGCAGGCGAGCTGAGGCAGGTGAGGTAGGCGAGGCGAGGTGAGGCAGGCGAGGCAGGTGAGGCAGGTGAGGTGAGGCAGGTGAGGCAGGTGAGGTAGGCGAGGCGAGGTGAGGCAGGTGAGGTGAGGCAGGCGAGGTGAGGCAGGCGAGGCAGGTGAGGTGAGGCAGGCGAGGTGAGGCAGGCGAGGTGAGGCAGGCGAGGCAGGTGAGGTGAGGCAGGCGAGGTGAGGCAGGAATCGGGGCGAGTGGGGTACCTACCGTCCTCTTCTCTCAAGGGTGGTGCAGGCACCGTGTCACGTACCGTGTCCGGTATGTGGGGTCAGTCAGGTGCTATGTCAAGCATGCGCCCTAGATTTTTAGATACGCGGGGCAAGTATGTTAGGTATTGGTGTCAGGTACCGTGTCAGGTACCATGTCAGGCACGCGTGTTTGCCTATGCGGTGTCACTGTGTGAGATACTGTGTCAGCTACTATGCCAGCTGTTGTCAAGCAATGTGTCACGTACTGTGTCTGGTGTCGCGTCTGCCGTCAGCTACTATGCCAGTTGCCAGCTTGCTATGTCAGGTCCGGTGTCAGCTACGGTGTACAGCTACTATGCTACGTACTGTCAGCTACTATGCCAAGTGTCAGCTGCCGTGTCAGCTCCGGTGCCAGGTGCTGCTGCTGCTGCGGCTGCGTCGTCGCCGTCGCCAGGTAGAGGCTACGCGCCGCCCTTGCCCCCCCCGCCGTGTTGACGCGGGGCCGCGGGCGCCACCGACACGGCCCTCGCGCTCCCAACCCGACACTCCACCCTATTACTTGCCTCGCGCATCCCCGACCCCCGGGACCTACTGACCCCCGTGACCTATCGACCGAGTGACCCGTGCGAGCGGTGCCTCACATCCTCGAACATGGAGCCGACGTTGGCCGTGACGAGGAGGAGTCGGGGTCCGCCGGACCGCGGCCTCCCGGATCGCTCGGCCGCCGCCATTCCACCCGGCCGCTCGTCCTCGCTCGATCGCCCCGCGTCGTCTTCCTCGTCCTCCACCTCGTCGTCGTCCTCCTCCTCGTCGTCTCCTCGTCTGCGCTAGAGTGTAGAGGAGGGGGGGGTCACAGCGGCCCCACGTCGCCCGGGGTCCCGCGCATCGCGGCCGCGACCCCGTGCCGCCTCCTCCTTTGGGTCTTGCGCCGAGCGCGATGACGTCAAAAGCGAGTGACGTCATCGCGTTGGGCCGCACGCGCGGGGGGGGGGGGTCACGCACGGCGGGGCGACGTCACCGAGGAGCGGCGACGCGGGTTGGCGAACGTGCGTCGTGAAGTCAACGCCGGTGACGTCATGGAAATGTGGATGGAGGGGGGGGCGCCCGAGGCGTGACGTCGTGTGGGCCCGAGGCAGTGGTCGAAAGGCGTGGCCTGAACTGTGGTGACGTCACGGACCCGGGGGGGGATGGACCGACGTCACCTAGAGCGAGACTGGGGGGAGCGGGGTTGTGTGTCATGACGTCACCGCCCAATACACACGCTTTGCTACCCACAGATCTCACTCCACGTGACCTCAAAGTGCACCTAGCCTGGCACAAAAGCCCCGTTGTTGGCACTCAACGAGGCTTTTGAGTACAGTACTGTAATCTGTTGCACCGTTTGCGCTGTTAGCTTCCTCAATTGGAATCCACACAGCAGCAATCAATGCCCCCTAGCGCGAGAACTTGGTAGGGCCCTCGTGAAAATCCGACCCCGGCTAAACGGGCACGAGTAGAAATAAAACGTGTTATAGTCAGGCTGAAATTAATCTGGAGCTGTGCGGGGCTGAGCTCTGGAAAGTTGGATTGGTGAATTGTGGGGCCCTCTCTCCGAGAAATATTCCGTGGGGAAATAGTCTTTGGTCCAGATTTCTGCGAGAATGATGAAAATCATTTCTCGACCCATGAATGATGGGGTGGAGGTCGCGTCGATTATTTGACCACGCATTCCGATGGTCAGTGCGAGTTTGTGGAAGCGGGGGAGCACGAACGCGTGGGCATAGAAGTGAAGTACAACACTGGATTTGTCCGCCTTGCCCATTGCTGCCACCACCACCACCACGGACCGGGCCGAGACCGTCAACGCCTTCCGAACCGGGCAATCGCTTGGAATCTCTCAGAGTGCAGCGCGATCCTCGCTTGAGAAATGTTCGTCAAGTAACGACGATCCAATCGATATTTGTGACTCTCTGGAATCGCTGCAGCACTTGACCACCCAGTTTCAGAGCCTAAGCTCGCACCGCCGTCTTGGCAGCGTGAGATGTTAACCGCCTCGCCTGGTGTACAGAAGGTCGTGGGTTTTATCCCAACTCTGACGCTTGCTGCTGTATATTTGGGGTTTGCGTGTCTCTCTCCCTGTGGTCGCGTGGATTTTTTTCAGGGTCCTCCGATTCATCTTCTTTGGTTCTTTCGGTAAAGTCACGTAGAATGAGAATAAAATAATAACATAAAACAATACAATTCTCACGACGTTTCGGCCACAACACAAGTGGCCTTCTTCAGGTGAAAGGAACAAACCTGTCGGGACGACAGAGCTTCAATGAGCGCTGCTAAGATTCGCAGCGTCTTGTAAGCTGGTTGAGAGAAGTAAGGCACCTTGACAAAGGGTTTTACATATCAAACAGGATAATTTAGCATTGAAACAGTTGAGGGATTAGCTTGTGACTGGTCACAGAAATAGCTATGTTAAAGTCAAAGCCTACACATCCACAGAGGCATCCAGTACATGGACGCCAAAGGGGCTGCAACAACTCAACTATCATACAGTAAACCGATGTGAGAAAAAAAAACCTAAGTCTAAATTACATCAATATAATAAATGTACTCAATATATTCTTCAATAGGCTGAGCTATTAACAGCAACTGGGTATACACTACACTATATAATGAATTCCATATAGTAAACAGATAAAAAATATATAAACTACCTGAATGTTATCGATAAACTCTATATTCTCCAATCAGCTGAGCTACCAACAATAAGTCGTTATATATGACGATGCTATATGGCGAAAAAAATGGGTGGATTCTTACCCTCCACATCAGCAGCGGTCCGTGGTGCTGATGTGGAGGGAAAGAATCCACCCATTTTTTTCGCCATATAGCATCGTGATATATAACGACTTATTATTGGTAGCTCAGCTGATTGGAGAATATATAGTTTATTGATAACATTGAGGTAGTTTATATTTTAGTTTTTTATGTTTACTATATGGTATTCATTATATAGTGTAGTGTATACTCAGTTCATGTTAATAGCTCAACTTATTGAAGAATATATTGAATACATTTATTATATTGATGTAATTTAGACTTAGTTTTTTTCACATCGGTTTACTGCATGATAGTTGAGTTGTTGCAGCCCCTTTGGCGTCCATGTACTAGGTGCCTCTGTGGATGTGTAGGCTTTGACTTTAACATAGCTATTTCTGTGACCAGTCACAAGCTAATCCCTCAACTGTTTCAATGCTAAATTCTCCTGTTTGATATGTAAACCCCTTTGTCAAGGTGCCCCACTTCTCTCAACCAGCTTAAAAGACGCTGCGAATCTTAGCAGCGTTCATTGTAGCTCTGTCGTTCCGACAGGTTTGTTCCTTTCACCTGAAGGCCACTTGTGTTGTGGCCGAAAGCTCGTGAAAATTGTAGTTTTATTTTATTCTCATTCTACGTGACTTTACCGAAAGAACCAAAGAAGATGAATCCTTGCAGTCACGAAAGCTTTAAATCGAAAAGGTCCTCCGATTTTTCTCTCTACATTTAGAAACACGCGTTGAGAGTAGTTGCCTGCTATAATCCACGTAATACACCACTTCGTTGAGTTAACATGTGTGGTCAAGTCGCTTCTAAAATAAAAGCTACAATGCTCATGGGGACCTTACCTGGCAAAATTAAAATAGTTCGTTTACTTAACGGATTACTAACGTAGCATATAATCACAATAACACACATTACAACTAATTACTAATCTACAACTCATTACTAATCGATTATATAATTACTGCACCTGAATGAGTTAAATGATGACGTCACCCTGCTGCTCTATTTAAGACCGGGAGCAAGTGAGGGCTTTATCATTCTGGCGAATTTCCCGATGATGCTGGATGTAATTACCAGCGAAACGTCGTATTCAAACTGTAAATGTTGTGGATTCACTCAACACACCGGTGGGCTAAAGTAGTGAACTAATTATCTTTTGTCAACGTGACACTTTTTTGCTGATTGGCCGTGTCGAGTGGCAGAGGGTTACGACACATTTATAATTAACGCGATCTAACCCAAAAACCTTTATTATGAATAAAATAGTTCATAGTTTATTTCATAGTTGAAACTTCGAGCTGCCACCACTGCTTGCTTCGTTCCCAACAATTCGGCTCCACGATGGGGTGGCACCCACCGCACCTTTGCTACGGCACTGCCCGGTTTCCGTCTCTCACGACCGGAGCCCTGGATCAGCAACCACCAGAACCTCCGCGGGCGTCAGCTCGACACTGTGACCTCCAGACTCGCAGGCCACCCGGCACGAGGCACACACACACACACACGTGGCGGCGTGAGGTGCGGCGGTTACTCTCGACACCATTTGTGTGTTGTGTTCCTTTTGTTTTATTGGCGTAACGTCTCTTGGCACATTGAGCAGAATCTCGGCGAGCGTTTCATTCATTCATCAGCCAGGTTAAGATGAGGTCGCGGGGTCATCACGAGGCCTGAGCCCACCCCCCCGCCATCCCATCCATGGGTTTAGTGCTCGGATAAACGGAACAATATCCCCCCCCCCCACGACTACTCAGAATGGAACGTCCCACATCTTCTAATTCAATCCGAATCAGAATATTTATTTATACTGGGGTGACCCAAGGTCTTCACGGGGGAAGGTGGGAGGGGGTGCGTGAAAGGGGGGTAGCAGTCGCGTAGCATCGGGGGGCTGTAGGGGGATGCTGGACGTGAGTGGAATTAATCGGCGGTGGGCCAGCCCTTCGTTGTGCGCAAGCGGGGGATGGGCTATGGATGAGTCCACGATTTTTAAGCTAAATGCCAAAATAGAATCTGGTAAAAATCCTAGCAGAGTTTGGGGAAATTCCGGACGGCCGCGTAAGAAGGAACCTTTTATCAGACTGATCTAGAAACCACGGCGCCGGTGGTGGTCGCACCAACGAGCACGCGCATCACACGACGAGCTCCGTCACGAAGCGAACAAAATCAGAAATTGTCGTTCAAAATTGTGCAATGCGTCAAATCCGAAAGTCATCTCTCAGAGCCGAAAGTGCGAAAGATAGAAGCAGGTTGAGAAGTCACCTGTTCCGTTCCACGTTTAACATTTGTTTAAAGTTTAACTATGAGTGTGTCATGCCCCCCCGACCCCCAAATATTTGTATGCCCCTGCTCTAAACAAGGTCACCCTATAGGCTTGGTGGGGGCGTGGGGGGAGGGGGAACTGGAGGCACTGTCCACCTGGGGGCCCCTTGGGCCTACCGAGGTCCTAAAGACTTGGAAACTCCTCTGGGGGCCCTCTCGGAACCCCCAGAGAGGCCCATCGACCCTCCGTGGGTCCTCTAGGCTCCTACAGGGCCCACGGAGGGATCATGGGAGCACACCCAGCCTCCCATAGAGGGGCCACGCAACCTGTGGGCTCATCCGCTGACCCCGAAAATCCACCTCGTGACCCTCCGGGGGGCTGACTGAGACTGCGAGATGCCGGTCAGGGTCAGGGGCTGAGGGCGGGGTCTTCGGGGGTAGACTTTCCCGTGAGGTCAGCCAGGGGGAAAGATGAGGGGTCCCAGGGGGTGGGGCCGTTAGTGAGAAGACTCGGATTGTTCTGGTTGGCCCCCCCACCCGTGATGAGGAGACTGTATCTCTCCTGCTGCCGCTGCCGGTAGCTGTCCTTCACGCGTCCTCGTTTCAGCTGTCCGTCCCTGTGCGCCCGACACAACAACAACGACAACAATGACAATGCTGCCGGGGTGTCATGGTTACCACACTGGGCCTGCCACGATGGTTGTTAAACTTATTATCGGTAGCCATGAGGTGACTTGGTCACGTTATGGTTCAGGCTAGAGGTAAAATGCTCGTCAGGCTAGAGGTCACATTATAGGTCAAACTAGAGGTGAGGTGATAGATCGGACTACGAGTCAGGTGACGGGTCAGACGACAAGTCGGGCAATAGGTCAGGTGAACAGGTGAGCCATGATGGTGAACCCTGGGCTTGGGCTGCCCTCACCAGATGAGGTCGACGAGGCCTCCCTGCCGCGCGATCTCCGCCTTCACGCGATTCGCAAACACGACCGCCTCCTCTCCCTCCTGCACAACCGCACAGAGAAAAACGATCCCCCGTATGGCCTTTACAGACTGTTGGGGCAAGTGCTGTTAGCGCACCTATGAAGGCAACCACACACACACACAGCCCCACACACACACACACACAGCCCCACACACACACACACAGCCCCCCCCACACACACACACAGCCCCACACACACACACACAGCCACACACACACAGCCACACACACACACACAGCCCCACACACACACACAGCCCCACACACACACACAGCCACACACACACACAGCCCCACACACACACACAGCCCCACACACACACACACACAGCCTCACACACACACACAGCCCCACACACACACACACAGCCCCACACACACACACAGCCCCACACACACACACAGCCCCACACACACACAGCCACACACACACACAGCCCCACACACACACACACACAGCCCTACACACACACACAGCCCCACACACACACACACAGCCCCACACACACACAGCCCCACACACACACAGCCCCACACACACACACAGCCCCACACACACACACACAGCCCCACACACACACACAGCCACACACACACACAGCCCCACACACACACACAGCCCCACACACACACACACACAGCCTCACACACACACACAGCCCCACACACACACACACAGCCCCACACACACACACAGCCCCACACACATACACAGCCCCACACACACACACACAGCCCCACACACACACACAGCCCCACACACACACACAGCCCCACACACACACACACACAGCCCCACACACACACACAGCCCCACACACACACACACAGCCCCACACACACACACACAGCCCCACACACACACACAACCCCACACACACACACAGCCCCACACACACACACAGCCCCACACACACACACAGCCACACACACACACAGCCCCACACACACACACAGCCCCACACACACACACACAGCCCCACGACACACACACACACACAGCCCCACACACACACACAGCCCCACACACACACACAGCCCCACACACATACACAGCCCCACACACACACACACAGCCCCCCACACACACACACACAGCCCCACACACACACAGCCCCACACACACACACAGCCCCACACACACACACAGCCCCACACACACACACACAGCCCCACACACACACACACACAGCCCCACACACACACACACACAGCCCCACACACACACACAACCCCACACACACACACAGCCCCACACACACACACACAGCCCCACACACACACAGCCCCACACACACACAGCCCCACACACACACACACAGCCCCACACACACACACACACAGCCCCACACACACACACAGCCCCACACACACACACACAACCCCACACACACACACAGCCCCACACACACACAGCCCCACACACACACACACAGCCCCACACACACACACAGCCCCACACACACACACAGCCCCACACACACACACAGCCACACACACACACAGCCCCACACACACACACACACAGCCCTACACACACACACAGCCCCACACACACACACACAGCCCCACACACACACAGCCCCACACACACACAGCCCCACACACACACACAGCCCCACACACACAGCCCCACACACACACACACACAGCCACACACACACACAGCCCCACACACACACACAGCCCCACACACACACACACACAGCCCCACACACACACACAGCCCCACACACATACACAGCCCCACACACACACACACAGCCCCACACACACACACACAGCCCCACACACACACACAGCCCCACACACACACAGCCCCACACACACACACAGCCCCACACACACACACACAGCCCCACACACACACACACACAGCCCCACACACACACACAACCCCACACACACACACAGCCCCACACACACACACAGCCCCACACACACACACAGCCACACACACACACAGCCCCACACACACACACAGCCCCACACACACACACACAGCCCCACGACACACACACACACAGCCCCACACACACAGCCCCACACACACACACAGCCCCACACACATACACAGCCCCACACACACACACACACAGCCCCCCACACACACACACACAGCCCCACACACACACAGCCCCACACACACACACACACAGCCCCACACACACACACAGCCCCACACACACACACACAGCCCCACACACACACAGCCCCACACACACACACACACAGCCCCACACACACACACACACAACCCCACACACACACACAGCCCCACACACACACACACAGCCCCACACACACACAGCCCCACACACACACAGCCCCACACACACACACACAGCCCCACACACACACACACACAGCCCCACGACACACACACACACAGCCCCACACACACACACACAACCCCACACACACACACAGCCCCACACACACACACACAGCCCCACACACACACACACACAGCCCCACACACACACACACAGCCCCACACACACAGCCCCACACACACACACAGCCCCACACACACACACACACAACCCCACACACACACACACACAGCCCCACACACACAGCCCCACACACACACACACAACCCCACACACACACACACAGCCCCACACACACACAGCCCCACACACACACAGCCCCACACACACACACAGCCACACACACACACAACCTTGGTGCACACTCTATTTTGTTCGCTTATGACTGTGTACGTGTCCACCACCGGCGTGTGCATCCACCGCTGACAACGCACAGTTAGCTGGAGGCGTCCACACCTCTCGGCCCCCGCGGGGACGGCTCACCTGGCGCGTCATGGGCGGCAGGTACCACACGTTGCACACGATCGCCCAGCTCGTCATCATGCGCAGCAGGTAGCTCACCATCCCGTATTTGCTGCTGTTCCAGAACGCGTCCCCAAACTGAGGGTCATACTTGGGGGACCGGGGTGGAGGGAGGGGGGAGTACAGAGGGGGAAACTGAGGTTATCTTCGGTCTGGGGCCTGTTGGTAGACGTAGGTGTTTAAAGGATTCAGGGTTAAGGGCTCGGGGGATGCAGGTTAAAGGGTTAGGTTTTATACCTGGAGGTGGAGGAGGTTCGGGGATAGTGTCCAGAGTTGAGTTCAGGGGTCAGGTTTATGGTGGAGGATTATGGATAGAGGTTAGATGTTGGGGTCTTGGGGGTTAGGAGTCAAGGTTAAGGTTGAGGATCAAAGGTTTAAGTTGAGGGTTTATGGTCTAGGAGTTAGACACATCGGGTTTGGGGATTTGGGCTTCCGAGTTAGGAATTGGGGCGAGGGGTTAATGGTTAGGACTCGGGATTAGGGGACAGAGTTGAGTAGTTTGGACCTAGGCTTTAGGTTCAGAATAGGGCGTCTGCTCAGGGTTGATGGTTCAGGATTTGAGGTGAGGTTTTTGGGTTATGTTATATGGGATAGAGGATAATGGTAAGAAGTTATGGTTTAGGGACTAGGGGATAGCGGTTGGATGTTTGGGTCTAGGGGATAGCAGTTTGGTGTTCGGGTCTAGGGGTTAGTGCAAAGCGTCTAAGGGTCTATAAATTGGAGGCTATGGATTAGGGTCTATGGACTCGTGCGAGGGTTAAGGTCTGTGGCCGAGTGCAAGGGGCTGCGGTTACCGATAGTATGCGCGCTACGTAAAGTGGTTAGGGGTAGGGTTGGGTTCCGGGGGATGCTCCCGACTCAAGTGAGGAGACGTGAGCCCCACCTTGATCGCGACAGGGTATATGATCCCCCCGATCTCAAAGCTGCCCTTCTTGAACATCATCACCGATGTGTTGTTAATGCACGTTCCTGCAGCAGCATACAGAGTACACACAGTATACACACTCAGCACACACAGTACACATTTACAGCACACCACAGCACACAAAGTACACATTTACAGCACACCACAGCACACACAGTACACATTTACAGCACACCACAGTACACACACAGTACACACAGTATACACATACGGCACACATAGTACACACTTACAGCACACCACAGCACACACAGTACACATTTACAGCACACTACAGTACACACACACAGTACACACACGGCACACACACAGTACACACACGGTACACACACAGTACACACACGGTACACACAGTACACACACGGTACACACACAGTACACACACACGGTACACACACAGTACACACATACGGTACACACACAGTACACACACACAGTACACACACGGTACACACACACACAGTACACACGGCACACACACGGTACACACACAGTACACACACACAGTACACACAGTACACACGCACAGTACACACACGGTACACACACGGTACACACACGGTACACACAGTACACACATACAGTACACACACAGTACACACACAGTACACACGCAGTACACACACAGTACACACACACAGTACACACACAGTACACACACACGGCACACACACAGTACACACACAGTACACACACGGCACACACACAGTACACACACAGTACACACACACGGTACACACACGGTGCACACACGGTACACACACAGTACACACACAGTACACACACAGTACACACACGGCACACACACAGTACACACACAGTACACACACAGTACACACACACGGTACACACACAGTACACACACAGTACACACACAGCACACACGCAGTACACACACAGTACACATACACAGTACACACACAGTACACACACACGGCACACACACAGTACACACACAGTACACACACGGCACACACACAGTACACACACAGTACACACACACGGTACACACACGGTGCACACACGGTACACACACAGTACACACACAGTACACACACAGTACACACACGGCACACACACAGTACACACACAGTACACACACAGTACACACACACGGTACACACACAGTACACACACAGTACACACACAGCACACACACAGTACACACACAGTACACACACGGTACACACACAGTACACACACACAGTACACACACACAGTACACACACAGTACACACACAGTACACACACGGTACACACACAGTACACACACAATACACACACGGTACACACACAGTACACACACGGTACACACAGTACACACACAGTACACACACGGCACACACACAGTACACACATACAGTACACACACAGTACACACACAGTACACACATACAGTACACACATACAGTACACACACAGTACACACACCGTACACACACGGTACACACACACAGTACACACAGTACACACATACAATACACACACAGTACACACGGTACACACACATACAGTACACACACAGTACACACACACAGTACACACAGTACACACATACAGTACACACACAGTACACACACGGTATATGTCAAGAGGTGAAGGTTGTGTAAGGGATGGGCTTAGGGGAAGGTGAGGGGGGGTCAGGTGAGGGGCTTGTGAGGGACGGGGTGAGGGGGGGTGAGAGGGGGTAGGGGGGTGGGGGTGAGAGGGGGTGGGGGTAGGGAGGTGGGGGTGAGGGGGGGTGAGAGGGGGTGAGAGGGGGTGGGGGGGTGAAGGGGGTGGGGGGGTGGGGGTGATAGGGGGTGGGGGGGTGAGGGGGGGTGGGGGGGGTGGGGGTGAGGGGGGGTTGAGGGGGGGGTGGGGGTGATAGGGGGTGGGGGGTGGGGGGTAGGGGGTGGGCGGTAGGGGGTGGGGAGGTGGGGGTGAAGTTGGGGGTGAGAGAGGGGCGGGGGGGTGGGAGTGAGGGGGGGTGGGGGTGAGGGGGGGGTGGGGTGAGGGGGGGTTGAGGGGGGGTGAGAGGGGGTGGGGGTGAGTGGAGGGGTAGGGGTGAATGGGGGTGAGAGGGGGAGGGGGGTGAGGGGTGGGGGTGCACCTCACCCTCAGGGAAGATGAGAATTGGAAGTTTCACTTTGGCTGCCACGTGTTCCATGAGCCTGGGGGTGGGAGGGTGGACGGGGGGGGGGGCAGTGAAGCGGGGGGGGGGGGGAGGTCAGTGAGGGGGGGGGCGGTGAGGGTGGGGGGGTGTCAGGCGAGGGGGGGAGCAGTGTGGTGGGGCGGCCGTGAGTGCGCATTACCATAGTGACGAGGTGCGTGTTGCCACGGCAACGGGGTCTGCGCTCACCTCTGCGTGACGAGGTGGCGGTCCTTCATCTCGGACCTCTCGAACCAGACGTGGAAGCAGGCGCGCTGCATGGCTCTCTGCATCACCCCCAGCAGGCCGCCGTGCACCTGGCCCACCTGCACGGGGCGGGGGGAGCAGGTCAGTGAGTAGGGGTGGCAGCAGGGTGGGAGCAGGGTGGCAGCAGGGTGGGAGCAGGGTGGCAGCAGGGTGGCAGCAGGGAGGGAGCAGGGAGGGAGCTGGGTGGGAGCAGGGTGGCAGTCACCATGGCGTAGCACCCGTCAGCAGCGAGCACCACGACGTCGATTGGGGAAGTATGATTCGCCACGCAGATGCCCCCTTTCCGGGGTCGATTCTCCCTGGGGGGGCGGGGGAGGAGGGGGGTGAGGGCACAGGTGAGCATACGAGCGCGCAGGTGAGTGTGATCTTGAGCGTTCAAGTGACTGTCGAGGTGAAGTGGGTTGGTGAGTGCTGGTGAGTTGTGGGGAGCGGTAGTGTAGTGGTAAGCGCGCTGCGCTACGAACCCGGTGTCCCGAGTTCGAGTCCCGCTCACGGCAAACACCGGTGACGGTTACGTGAAACGGTCCTGGACGTCCCCTAGGTCGACTCAGCCTCAAATGAGTGCCTGGTGCGGTGTGTAAACATCGCCGCTAGGGAGACAAAGGCGGCCGGTGGTGGTGCTGGTCACCCACCCCCTTCGTGTGCCGTGTCGGCCTTCGTAGGTGCTCGTTAACGACACTTGCCCCCAACAGTTTGTTCAGGCTATACGGGGGATCTTTGTCTTTGTAGTGGTGAGTGATGGTGATAGGTGAGGAATGGCCCTCACGTGTTGTGGTAGTGCACCACACCGCTCAGGCCACGCAGGCAGATCCGGTAGGCAGTGAGGTGGATTTTGTCACTCAGCCACTCCTTCACCCTGCACGCACACACACAGACAAAGATCCCCCAGGTAGCCTTGACAGATTGTGGGATCACCTATGAAGGCCGGCACGGCACACGAGGGGGTGCTGTGATGAAGGTGGTGGTGATGGTTGTGATGATAGTGATAGTGGTGATGGTTATGGTGCTAATGATGGTGATGGTACTGAAGATGGTGGTGGTGATGGTACTGAAAATGGTGGTGATGGTGGAGATAGTGGGGGTGATGGTGATGGTGGTGGTGATGGAGGGGGTGATGGTGGAGATAGTGATGGTGGTGGTGATGGTGGGGGTGATGGTGGTGATGGTAGGGGTGATGGTGGGGGTGATGGTGGGGGTGATGGTGGGGGTGATGGTAGGGGTGATGGTAGGGGTGATGGTGGAGATAGTGATGGTGGTGGTGATGGTGGGGGTGATGGTGGTGGTGGTGATGGTGGGGGTGATGGTGGGGGTGATGGTGGAGATAGTGATGGTGGTGGTAATGGTGGGGGTGATGGTGATGGTGGGGGTGATGGTGGGGGTGATGGTGGTGGTGATGGTAGTGGTGATGGTGGTGGTGATGGTGGTGGTGATGGTGGGGGTAATGGTGGGGGTAATGGTGGTGGTGATGGTGGGGGTGATGGTGAGGGTGATGGTGGTGGTGATGGTGCGGGTGATGGTGGAGATAGTGATGGTGGTGGTGATGGTGGGGGTGATGGTGGTGGTGATGGTAGGGGTGATGGTGGGGGTGATGGTGGGGGTGATGGTAGGGGTGATGGTAGGGGTGATGGTGGAGATAGTGATGGTGGTGATGGTGGGGGTGATGGTGGTGGTGGTGGTGATGGTGGGGGTGATGGTGGGGGTGATGGTGGAGATAGTGATGGTGGTGGTAATGGTGGGGGTGATGGTGATGGTGGGGGTGATGGTGGGGGTGATGGTGGTGGTGATGGTGGTGGTGATGGTGGTGGTGATGGTGGTGGTGATGGTGGGGGTAATGGTGGGGGTAATGGTGGTGGTGATGGTGGGGGTGATGGTGGGGGTGATGGTGGTGGTGATGGTGGGGGTGATGGTGGTGGTGATGGTGGTGGAGATAGTGGGGGTGATGGTGATGGTGGTGGTGGTGGAGATAGTGGTGGTGATGGTGGTGATGGTGGGGGTGATGGTGGTGGAGATAGTGGTGGTGATAGTGGTGGTGGTGATGGTGGGGGTGATAGTGGTGTGTACCTGCTCTGGGGAAGGAAACCAACAGCTGAGGCTCCCACGACAAGCCACCCGATACCCAGTGAAGCCAGGCTCACCCTGCAACACACACCATCAATACCATCAACATCATGACCAGCAACATCGACATCTTCATGATCATTCACATGGACGTCACTGCCATCAGCGCCCTCGTGCCGGTCCGAGTTCGCGCGCCGTCCCTCCGCTGCAGGTGACGCTGCTGGGATCTGCGTGTGTAGGCGTGCCTGTGTGTGTGTAGGTGTACCTGTGTGTGTGCCTGTGTGTGTGCCTGTGTGTGTGCCTGTGTGTGTGTAGGTGTACCTGTGTGTGTGCCTGTGTGTGTGCCTGTGTGTGTGCCTGTGTGTGTGCCTGTGAATGTATGTGTGCGTGTGTGGGAGTGGTAGTGTAGCGGTATCGAACCCGGCGACCCGAGTTCGATTCCTGCTCACGGCCAAAACGAGCTGATCCGGTCATGGGCCTTCTCCAGGTCGATTCAGCCTCAAATGAGTACCTGGTGCGATGTGTAAAGACAAAGGCGGCCGAGCGTGGTGTTGACCACGCTTCCTCAGCACTTGCCCCAAACAGTCTATAAAAGCTACACGGGAGATCTTTGTCTTTGTACTGTTTGTTGCTGTGACGTTCTCACCCGCCCCTGCTGGACACCTGTGAAAAAGAGCTTTTTTGCTCATCGGATTCCTCCAGGATGAATGCTGGGTATTCTTATTTTTTGTTATAAATTGTCCCCGTGTGTGCGTGCAGACAACGTGACAGCCCCGCAGCAAGACAACAGCGTCACGTGGTCACCAACACGGCCTGGACGCGTGGTGGGCACACGGCCTCTCTTCTGCATTGTGGCCTCAGTGACCTGGGGGGGGGGGCTGATGATGGTGTGGTGGGGGGCCATACCAAACATGTTGACAACCATGAAGTTGGAGAGATGGGTGGGTGGGGGGGGGGGGATTGAGAGCAGAGAGGGGAGAAGGCGGGTTAGAGAGAGGGGAGATTGGGGGCAAAAGGAGAGGATTGAGGGGGCCGGGAGAGGGAGGGGAGGGGGCCGGGAGAGGGAGGGGGAGTAACTCTGTCCTCGTGGTGATGTCGCAATCCCTGGCAGCATTGAGGGGAACAAATCTGGTGACGGATTTAGATGGAGGGGTGGAAAGGGGGGGGGGGTGGAAACAGAAGGGGGCTCTCGTACCACACGCATGAGTGGAGTGGACGTGTGGTGTGTGTGGTGTGTGTGTTGTTTGTGTGCGCTGAATATAAACACCACACACCAACAACAACAACAGCCGCCATTCGCCACGTAAGTGGGGGTTGCCGTCACCACGGCCCTTGTGCCAGGTTGGGTGCACACACCGCACGAATACACAACGCCGTTCACAGTGACGTCGGATGAGAGGGCACCTATTGAGGCTAGCACAGCGCACGAGGGAGTGGCGGTTGGCCAGCCGTCTTTGTTTCCCCCAAGCCGATGTTTACGCGTGATACTGAGTGGGCCCTAGGGAAGGGCCCAGGACCGGTTCATCAGATATTCATCACTCGAGTCGCCGGGTCCGTAGCACAGCGCGCTAACCGCTGCTCCACCGCCCCCCCCCCCCCAAACATGCAGACACACGCGCACACACGCGCGTCACACCTGGCATTATTTGTGTCACGGGGACCCACGTTCTTTCTCCACGTGGTTCGGGACGGGGGCCATGGGGGATCATGGTGGTTTGTGGGGGGCGCGGGGGGGGGGGGTGGCTAAACCTGTCCCTGCAGCCCCCCCCCCTCGTCTCTACTCCCTCCCTTTCAGATCCCCAATCTCAGACCCCCCCCCCCCACCCATTTATGTATCCTCTCTACGTATCTCTATCCACACCTGCCCCCCCCCTGCTCCTCTCCCCACCCCCCTCTGCACTCACCTATGGGATGACCTATTCCTCCAGCACCACGTGTCACCACCCTGCTGCCCCTCCAATCCCTATTGCCCTATCCCCTTTCCAGTCCCCTCCCGCATTCGCTACCTCTGCACCCCACGAACCCTGACCCCTACCCTCCTCACGCCCCCTCCCCCCACCGCGGCCTCAATTCACGCGCATGGGGATCAAGTAACGCGCCAGCACTCCGTGTCCCAATCCCTGCTCCCCCATCCCTCCACCCCCTCTCCCCACTACCTCCCCCTACTCACCACACGCGCAACGAGGATGCACTCCGAGCCTCCATTATCGTACCCCCCTCTCCGCTTCCTCGTCTCCCATGAAAGATCCCGTGACGGTATTGGCGAGCGTAGACCCATTGTCCGCCGGCGTCACGGTCCAGATTTTGCCAAATGTGAAAAATTACTCCGCTGGATTACACAGAGCGAGCATCGCCCCCCCTCCCTCCCTCCCTCCCTCCCCCCCACTACTGCGGAAACCTGGCAGGACCCTCCTGACGATAGTCATGAGACTCAGCGAGGCTTTCCTGTATGTACGTTGATACTTATTTCGCACCGTACGTAGCCAACTGCGCTAATTGTCGGGTAATCAAACATCATAATAATATACTCTACACCACCCCCTCCTGCTCCCCCCTCCTCCCCTCGCCCCCCCCCCCCTACTCACCTGACAGGCAGGAGAATGAAGTAGCGCACCAGCACGCCTCGCCCCCCCCCCCTGCTCCCCCCTCCTCCCCTCGCCCCCCCCCCCCCTACTCACCTGACAGGCAGGAGAATGAAGTAGCGCACCAGCACGCCGAGCCCCCACACGGCCGTGAGCTTAGCGCTCACGTGGGAGAAGTCGCAGTTGGTGCGCGTCAGCAGGTTCCACGACTCGAGCTCCTCGGCCGAGAAGCGCTGTGTCACGTCGTCCTCCACGATGGCCTCCAGGCCGCGGCGAGCGAACCACATCGCGTCGGACATCGTGAACTCGCCCGCCGCCGTGGCGGGGGCGCTCATGGTCGGCGGGGGGGAGTGGGGGGCGCCCCCCCCCTCCTCGTCCCCCGCGGGAGCCCCCCCCCGGCACACCGGCTCCTCGTAGTGGTCGTAGTCGTCCCGCAAGCGGCTCACCTCCTCCTCGAGGTTGGAGGACGACTCCCGCTTGATGAGCCCTGCGTGACCGAGAGGGATTGCAGCTGTGGGATTCAGCCTCTGCTTGAACCAATGGAACAACTTTCAAAGTGTCATTTTATTGTAATAGGTAAGGCCCCACTGAGCTATGTTGCTCGTTGTTTTTTTAATCAAAAGCGACCTGGCCATCACAAACGGTAGCTCAACCAAGTGGCTGCTATCATCATTACGTGGGAATTCATAGTGGCAGTCAATTACTCTAAACATGCGATTTTATAAACTCACAGAGACCCATACTCATAGAGACCCATACAGACCTACAAAGACCCATACAGACCCACAAAGACCCATACAGACCCACAAAGACCCATACAGACCCACAGAGAACCAATACTCACAGAGACCCACAGAGACCCATCCAGACCCACAGAGACCCATACTCAGAGACCCACAGAGACCCATCCAGACCCACAGAGACCCATACTCACAGAGACCCACAGAGACCCATTCAGACCCACAGAGACCCATCCAGACCCACAGAGATCCATACTCACAGAGACCCATACAGACCCATACTAAAGCTCAACCATATTTTTTATTTTGCCAGGTAAGGCCAGACAAAGCTTTTCGCTTCTTTTTCAGAAGCGACCTGGCCATCACTAACGACCGCTCAACGAAGTGGCTGATATCACGTGGACAATTACTGCGGCCAAATACACTGAATGCTGGTGAACTGCCAGACGTTCAGGGGCAAGGACCCTTTCTCATTAATATTCGTGGTCCGGGTTTGACGTAAATGTATATATATAAAATGAACGATACGGCATAATCATTAACGTCGCTGTACAGAATATAAATAACGAAGTCAACGATCAGAGAGACAATTTGCCTCCTTCACAAAGCTTCTCCCTCCATTGCCCGGAGGGGCGGTGGAGGCCACTGGGAGAGTTGGGGCACCGTGACGGGGGGGCCAGGCGGTAGACGCGAAGAGGGTGCGGGGGGGTGAGGGGAGGGGGGTTGGGGGGGGTAAGGTGGGGGGCAGTCACGTGACGCACCGCTGGGGCTCGTCTTGTAGAACGACTGGAGTCTCTCGCGGCGGCCCCGCTCCATGCGACACGTGGCCCACTGCACAACACACGCAGCACGTGCGTGCGTCACACAGTACTCACGCAGCACACGTGCTGCACACAGTACTCACGCAGCACACGTGCGTCACACAGTACTCACGCAGCACGTGCGTGCGTCACACAGTACTCACACAGCACACGTGCGTCACAAAGTGCTCACGCAGCACACGTGCGTCACACAGTACTCACGCAGCACACGTGCGTCACACAGTACTCACGCAGCACACGTGCGTCAGAAAGTGCTCACACAGCACGTGCGTGCGTCACACAGTACTCACGCAGCACGTGCGTGCGTCACACAGTACTCACACAGCACACGTGCGTCACAAAGTGCTCACGCAGCACACGTGCATCACAAAGTGCTCACGCAGCACACGTGCGTCACACAGTACTCACGCAGCACACGTGCGTCACACAGTACTCACGCAGCACACGCGTGCGTCACACAGTACTGACAGAGCGCATACCAAAAATACAGCTCCAAGGATTACAACAGAGATTACACTTGTAAGGGATTACATCTGGAAGGGATTACACCTAAAATACCTGTAAAATATTACACCTGAGATTACACCTGCATGGGATTCAACCTGAGACTAATCATCTGAGATTACACCTGTAAGTGATTGCACCTGAGATTACAACTGGAAGGGATTACACCTTGAAGGGATTACACCTAAAATACCTGTAAAATATTACACCTGAGATTACACCTGCATGTGATTCAACCTGAGATTAATCATCTGAGATAACACCTGTAAGGGATTACACCTGAGATTACACTTGCATGGCAAGTGTGTCGTTGTACGTGTGTGGCGCGTGTGGTGTGTGTGTGGTGTGTATATATGCGCGTGTGATGTGTAGTTTGTGTGGTGTGCATAAAGTGTCCGTGTTGGTGTGGCGCGTCTTTGTGTCTTTTTGTGTGTCTTACGTGTATGTGTTTGTATGCACAGCGTGTGATATAATCATGTTGTGAGCACGTACTGTGTGTACGGGACATTTGTAAAAACAACACATTAGCACGCCGCAGGGTGTACAAAGTTCCTTGGCACGTGCCGTGACGGGCAACCGCACGGTCCCACCATGCCCCGTCCGGTGCCCGCCTCGCGAACACATCGCCCGGCCGGAATCGTCGCCCACACGCACGAAGCTTCGCTCGCCACACATGAACCAACGAGGCCTTTGCCGATCTCGTCCAGCAGCGCGCGACACTTCCCCGACGCTCATCCTCGCAGCGGCGCTTTCAGAATGCGCCTCTGCGGCCGTCTGGAACGCTCTGCCTTCCGATATGAGGAAGAAACTGGGAGCTGTGCACTTTTACATCTAAATAAAAAAACTAATTTCTCTCGAACTGCTTCTTGCGTTTCGTTTGTTGCCCTTCCCCAGCACCTCCGATTAGCGCGGTCGGCTACGTACGGCGCGAAAGAAGTGCAACCCACGCACGCGCGCGCGCGGTGTCACTATCTTGTTGATGTACGTGCGGAGTGAGTGTTTACGTGATGTCCGTCTGTGTGTGTGTAGTAGAAGTGTGTATACAGGTGGAGCGGTAGTGTAGGGAGTGGGGGGCAAGGTTGGGCAAGGTGGGGGGGGGCAGACATCACCTGAAAGAGTCGCAGTAGGTTTTGCATGTACACCTTCCTGAGGCCCAGAGAAAATCCCAGCGTCGAAGGAACAACCACCAGGCCCAGGAGCCACGCCATTCCGGCAGAGAGGACCCCCCCACCCAGGGACAGGACCCCCCCAACCAGAGCCAACAGACCCCCGGGCATTGCGAACCCCTGGGAGAAAAAGCGGAGCGCGAGGGAGATACGGGGAGAGGGATGCGGAGGTGATGGAGAGAATGACAGGGAGAGACAGAGGGCGAGGGAGAGGCAGATGAATATGGGGGGGACGGGAGATGGGGTAGAGACAAGCAGAGGGAGCAGAGCAAGAGAGACAGAGAGATAGACACAGGGAGAGAGACAGGGAGAGAGGAGGGGAGGGACAGAAAGACACGCACACAGCACACGCACACAGCGCACACACACACAGTCCACACACACACAGCACACACAAACAGCGCACACACAAAGAGAGAGAGAGCAATGGAGAGAGATCGAGAGGAGGGCGGGGCGAGCCGGGAGAGAGGCGGAGGGGACAAAAGTCACAGAGACTCTGCCCCGACCCCGGGCAGTGCTCCAACAGAGCTCCCCTCCTGTAACACTCACACAGTACACACACGCACTCACACTACACACACACAGTACACACACAGTACACACAGTACACACGCACACACACTCACACGTACACACACGCGCACACACACACAGTACACACCCACACGCACACACACACGCACGCTCACACGCACGCTCACACGCACACACACAGTACACACGCACACACACAGTACACACACAGTACACTCACAGTGCACACACGCACAAGCAACGCACACGCAACAACAACAACAACAACCGCCATTCGCCACTAAGTGGCGGTGACGTCACCACGACGCTTGTGCCAGGCTATGTGCACCCTGAGGCCACGTGAAGTGTCGAACGCCCGCTGGCAGGAGGTCACTCACACGCACACACACACACAGGCACACACGCACGCACACACGCACACAAACACACACACACACGCACGCACACACAGTACACACACACAGTACACACACACAATACACTCACAGTACACACGCACACGCACGCACACACACTCACACGCACGCACACGCACACACGCACACACAGTACACACACAGTACACACATTACACACAGTGCACACACACACAGTACACTCACAGTACACGCACGCGCACACACGCACACAACAACAACCGCCATTCGCCACGAAGTGGCGGTGACGTCACCACGACGCTTGTGCCAGGCCATGTGCACCTTGAGGCCACGTGAAGTGTCGAACGCCCGCTGGCAGGAGGTCACGGGGCAGACCCAGGTGCCACGGGTCGACTGACTGAGATGACTGCTGGCTGATGCACCACCTGTGCCCCCTACTGTGCCAACCTCCACGCACACACACACGCACACACACACACGTACACACACGCACGCACACGCGCGCACACACACACTCACACGTACACACACGCACACACACACGTACACACGCACACACACGTACACACACGCACACACGTACACACACGCACACACACGTACACACACGCACACACACACGTACACACGCACACACACACACACGCACACACACGTACACACACGCACACACGTACACACACGCACACACACACGTACACACACGCACACACACACGTACACACACACACTCACGCGCGTGTGCACAGCGCCCCAGTTGGCCACTCGTCGCGTTCCGCGCCGGGCCGCTCCGTCGGGCGTCTGCGGCGGTGAGGAGGAGGAGGGGTGGGGAGGGGTGGGGGGTGGGGGAGTGGGAGAGAGGTGAGCGCGGGGTGACGAGATCCCGGGTTGGTGAGTGGGTGGTATGGTGAGGGCATGGCGTCGAGTCGGGGTGGATGGGGGTGGGATTCGGGGGTGCTTGCTGGGTGCGTAGTGTGTGTGTCAGTGTGTATGTGTCAGTGTGTGTGTGTCAGTGTGTGTCAGTGTGTGTGTGTCAGTGTGTGTGTGTGTCAGTGCGTGTGTCAGTGTGTGTGTGTGTCAGTGTGTGTCAGTCACCGCCACTTAGTGGCGAATGGCGGTTGTTGTTGTCAGTGTATGTGTCAGTGTGTGTGTCAGTGTGTGTCAGTGTGTGTGTGTCAGTGTGTGTGTGTCAGTGTGTGTCAGTGTGTGTGTGTCAGTGTGTGTCAGTGTGTGTGTGTCAGTGTGTGTCAGTGTGTGTGTGTCAGTATGTGTGTGTCAGTGCGTGTCAGTGTGTGTGTGTCAGTGTGTGTCAGTGTGTGTGTCAGTGCGTGTCAGTGTGTGTGTGTCAGTGTGTGTCAGTGTGTGTGTGTGTCAGTATGTGTCAGTGTGTGTGTGTCAGTGTGTGTCAGTGTGTGTGTGTCAGTGTGTGTGTGTCAGTGCGTGTCAGTGTGTGTGTGTCAGTGTGTGTCAGTGTGTGTGTCAGTGTGTGTCAGTGTGTGTCAGTATGTGTCAGTGTGTGTGTGTCAGTGTGTGTCAGCCTTCATAGATGCTCGCTAACAGCACTTGTCCCAACAGTCTGTTAAGGCTACACGGGGGACCTTTGTTGTTGTTGTTGTTCTCCGCAGCGGGGAGCACACAGGTGGTGCCTCTGTCAGTCATCTCAGTCGGTCAGCCCAGAACAAGTACAATACGTCTGGTGCTGCTGCGTTGGCAGTGGTGTGCAACCACAGATAACAACAACTCAACACGTTCGTCAATAACAACGCTGTGACCTTTAACGTAAACATCAATGTAATCGGCGACGTTTCATGACCATGGCCCTTTTGAACATAGCGAGTCAATGCCAGCTGGGCCTGCCCCGTGACCTGCTCCCGTCAGCGCGCCTTCGGCACTTCACGTGACACCTCAAAGTAGCACCTAGCCTGGCACAGGGGCCCCTGGCGGGACCGCCACTTCGTGTGGAGTGGTCAATGCGTGTTGAGGGCGGCGGGGTTGGTACCGCATGCGTTGACGGGGAGTGCAGGGAGCGGTGGTGGAGCGGTTAGCACGCTACGCTACGACCCCGGCGTTGCGAGTTCGATTCCCGCTCAAGGCCAACTCCAGTTGCGATTATCCGAACCTGTCCTGGGCCTCCCCAAGGTCGACTCAAACGAGTACCTGGCGCGATTTGTAAACATCGCTACTGGGGAGACAAAGGCGGTCGGGCGTGGTGCTGGCCTCCCACCCCCTCGTGTACCGTGCCGAGGTGCTACTCGCTCACTGCACTTGCCCCAACAGTCTGTGAAGGCTACACGGGGGATCTTTGTCTTCGACGGGGTGTGTGCAGGGTGCAGGGTGCACGCCATGGGAGCTGATGTGGCACGGGTCCCCTCCCCCTCCTACCCTGGTCCCCCGCCCCTATCGCCCCATCCCATTTTTAGCGACCCTGGGCGGGCGGATAGGACAGACACGTGTCACGTTTCACTACTCTGTTCATTGCGTCTGCATGGGTCTCGTTGGGTCTGAATGGGTCTACAAAGGTTTGACTTGGACTGGATGGGCCTCAGTATGTCCGATTAAAAATGTGTGGGTCTGATTTTCGTCTGACTAAGTCTGAGTGTGTCTGGATAAGTCTGATTGGGTCTGGATGGATTTCCATGGGTCTACATGGGTCTGGGTGGGTCCGGGTGGGTTTATAGGGGTCTTGGTGGGTTCATATGGATCTGGGTGGGTTTATATGGGTCTGGGTGGGTTTATATGGGTCCAGGTGGGTTTATATGGGTCTGGGTGGGGTTATATGGTTCTAGGTGAGTTTATATGGGTGGGTTTATATGGGGCTGGGTGGGTTTATATAGGTATGGGTGAGTTTATATGGGTCTGGGTGGGTTTATATGGGTCTGGGTGTGTTTATATGGGTCTGGGTCGGCCTGATAAGGCGGCCGGATCTGGGTCGGTCTGGGTGGGTCTCCACTCGTCCGTGCCCTTCTCACTCGGGGCAGCGAGCGACGTCTGCAGCTGCAGTAAAGGTTACGCAATCACCTCCCCGCTCCTCTCCTGCTACCACGGGGACAACAGGGACAACGGGTCAAAGGTCGGGGTTTGCGATGTGGAGGGGGGCGCCCCACGTCCTGGGTCCACGTCACTGCGTGGGGAATCCCTCCCTTACTGTTGTGTTGTCATTGTGTTATTTGTTTTGTTGTTGTGTTGTTTCCCGTATGCTTTGTTGCGTTGTTGTTGTGTTGTTTGTTTTGTTGATGTGTTGTTTGCTGTTATGTTGGCATCGTTTTTGCTGTGTTGTTTTTATGTAATTGTGTTGGTGTTTGTTTTGTTATTGTTTTTACATTGTTGTTGTGTTTGTTTTGTCGGTGTATTTGTGTCGTTATTTGTTGTACGGCCCACTGAAGTGGATCACACAGAGCTACCTCTGGGAGTGACTTCTTGTCCACCCACAGGAGGAGGCAGCACTGCCCCACCCACTCTGCCGGAGTGACGTTCGTCACGTGACGGTCACCCCCCCCCCCCCCCCCCGTTTTAATGATCAGAGTTGAAAGTCCAAGCAAATCAAGTAGCGGACGATATTGTACGTGATGGACATTGTTAGTCTGTGGGTGTCTGTGTGAGCCTGTGGGTCTCTTTGTGAGTCTGTGGGTCTCTGTGTGAGTCTGTGGGTCTATGTGTGAGTCTGTGGGTCTGTGTGTGAGTTTGTGGGTCTGTGTGTGAGTCTGTGGGTCTCTGTGTGAGTCTGTGGCGGAGTTTCACGACAGTCTTGCGGTCATCCACTAACCCTCGCCTCCAGTGCTGGATTACAGGCCACGCGCAGAGCCTCCATACAGCTCCTTGTTCTACCCACTGCTGGATAAAGGACTCACACCGACCCATTGTTGTTGCGTATATCCGTGTGTTTTGTCGCCGCAACGGAGCGCTCTTCCCCCGAGAAAATTCGAAACCTCCTGCGCCACTGTGAAAGAGAACTCCACAGGGCATCGGATTCCCCCAGTCTACATCAAGATTCTGATGCACAGATTTAACAACAAAATTCCCCCTGCACGGTTCCCGTGCCCACCACTGAAGCTCCGTGGCCACCTCTGCTCTCCACGTATCCACGGAAGATCCTTGCCCCCCCCCTCCCTCCAACCCCCCCCCCCCTCCATGAGGCCCCCCACAGACGGAGCAGGGCGGTGCGACGCTAATTGCCGTCACCATTAAACATTTAGATCCTTAATCGTGCTCCTGCTCCCACGCGGGACGAGATAATGCATCCGCATTAGAGGAGTAGAGGTGGAGGGGGGTTATGGAGACTGAGCAGATACGAGAGTGGAGGAGTGGAAGTCGCGAGGGGGGAGGGGGTGCGTGAGTATTAATGGACACGAAAGCGATGTTCAGGGGGGGGCGCGGAGTCAGAGATCTGCGCGGGGAGACGGAGCGAGCGCCACGTCCCGTCCACCGCTCCCTCCCAGAGCCGCATTGCGGGGACCCGCCTAGACCCTGCAGGGTCCCAGCCACTCTATACCGAGGACCCCCTCTTCAATTCTTCCCGGGACCCCATAAACTCTGCCAGGGACTCATTCGCCTTCACCTGTGGACCGGACCCCGTCGCTCTCATCTGGAACCCCTCTGCCCTGCACTGCTGCGCCATGCGGCCCCTGCTGGAGGCCCCTGTGAGGTCCCTTGTGAGAGCCCTTGTGAGGGCCCTTGTGAGGGCCCTTGTGAGGCCCCTTGTGAGGACCTCTGCTGTGGGCTCTGCGTCCCTCGGCCTCTTCCTCCCTCTGCTCCTTGCGGCCGCGCTGCGCCCAGCCACTCCGTGCGGCACCGTGGGTGCGTGTGGATGGTCGTGTGTGTGAGTGAGTGCACCTAGCCTGGTACGAGCGCCGTAGTGACGTCACTGACACTTTGTGGCGTGTGTTCGGGTAGGTCGACTCAGCATCAAATGAGCACCTGTTGCGGTTTGTAAACACCTCCACATTTGGAGATCGAGGCGGCCGGGCGTGGTGCTGGCCACCCACTCCTTTGTGTACCGTGCCAGCCTTTATAGGTGCTCGCGAACAGAACTTGCCCCAACAGTCTGTTAAAGGCTACACGGGGGATCTTTGTATGTATTATCCAGGTATCACGTTCCTGAACCCGTCTCGTTGCGAGCGTGTCTCACAGTGTCTCACTTCGAAGTGGTTTGACGTCCCCGTGTCGCTGGGGACATCTCCCTTATAGCGTGTCTGGGTTCTCGTCTCTCCTCTATCCCCGTGTCTCTGTCTACAGGGATCTCGTTCTTGGGCGCGTCTCGCTGTGAGTGTGTCCCCGTGTCCCCGTGTCTCTGTCTCCAGGGATCTCGTTCCTGGGCGCGTCTCGCTGTGAGTGTGTCCCCGTGTCCCCGTGTCTCTGTCTCCAGGGATCTCGTTCTTGGGCGCGTCTCGCTGTGAGTGTGTCCCCGTGTCCCCGTGCCCCGTGTCTTTGTCTCCAGGGATCTCGTTCCTGGGCGCGTCTCGCTGTGAGTGTGTCCCCGTGCCCCGTGTCTCTGTCTCCAGGGATCTCGTTCCTGGGCGAGTCTCGCTGTGAGTGTTGTCCCCGTGTCCCCGTGTCCCCGTGTCTCTGTCTCCAGGGATCTCGTTCCTGGGCGCGTCTCGCTGTGAGTGCTGTCCCCGTGTCCCCGTGTCCCCGTGTCTCTGTCTCCAGGGATCTCGTTCCTGGGCGCGTCTCGCTGTGAGTGTTGTCCCCGTGTCCCCGTGTCCCCGTGTCCCCGTGTCTCTCTCTCCAGGGATCTCGTTCTTGGGCGCTTCTCGCTGTGAGTGTGTCCCCGGGTCCCCGTGTCTCTGTCTCCAGGGATCTCGTTGCTGGGCGCGTCTCGCTGTGAGTGTTGTCCCCGTGTCCCCGTGTCCCCGTGTCTCTGTCTCCAGGGATCTCGTTCCTGGGCGCATCTCGCTGTGAGTGTGTCCCCGTGTCCCCGTGTCCCCGTGTCTTTGTCTCCAGGGATCTCCTTTCTGGGCGCGTCTCGCTGTGAGTGTGTCCCCGAGTCCCCGTGTCCCCGTGTCTCTGTCTCCAGGGATCTCGTTCTTGGGCGCGTCTCGCTGTGAGTGTGTCCCCATGTCTCCGTATCCCCGTGTCCCCGTGTCTCTGTCTCCAGGGATCTCGTTCCTGGGCGCGTCTCGCTGTGAGTGTGTCCCCATGTCCCCGTGTCTCCGTGTCCCCGTGTCTCCGTGTCTCTGTCTCCAGGGATCTCGTTCCTGGGCGCGTCTCGCTGTGAGCTCGCGCTGCTGAATTCGCTGCCCTGGGAAGACGTTTCCTTGAAGCACATTCAGCTGAACCACAGCCACGGCGAGATCGCGGTCCCTGGTAATGCGACGACACGGGGACAGGGACATGGGAACAGGGACACGGAGACACAGACATGGGGACAGAAACATATGGGGCTGGGGTGGGGAGGAGGAGGGTACACAGGGTACTCGGACACGGCGACAGGGACACGGGGCTAGGGACACGGGAGACACAGAGAGAAGGTTATGGAGACACAGGTATAGGGTCACAGACACGTAGACAAGGAGACACAATGAGACACGGGGACACATAAAGAGTGACACAAGGGCATGGCGGTGGGGGGGGGGGGGGCAGGGACAGGCAAACACAAAGAGAGGGACACGGGGGACAGTGACGCACGTTGATTCGTATAAATGTGTTTTATTTGACCAGGCAAGGCCCACTGAGCTATATGTTGCTCTGTTTCAGAAGCGACCTGGCCACAAATGATAGCTCAACCACGTGGCGTATGACGTGGAAATTTATAGCAGCCAAATACTCTAAATGCGTGTGCATACATTTAACGGGAAAAACCGGAGGACCCGCAAAAAAAATCCACGCGACCACGGAGAGAGAGAGAGAGAACACGCCAACTCCAAATATAGAGCACGGCTCGGGATCGAACCCACGACCTCCTGTATGCTAGGCGAGGTCGCAACATCTCCCCATTGTGGCGCTTTCCCGCGTCCCTATCCCCGCTGCTCTCAGACGCCTGGCCCAAGGATCGGCCCGTGGTCGTGGTGTCCGGGGAGGAGGACGAGGAGGCGGATGGGGATGACCCCCCCATCTACTCACACGGCCCCCCGCTGCTGCGCGTGAACGCGCGCTCCGTGCGCGACGCCTCCGAGTCCGGGCTGCAGCTCGCGCCGCGCGCCTCCGCGCTGCTCGGAACCGCCGCCGAGATCGCCATTCACCTGCGCTGGGACGGAGTCATCCTCCTCTATGATCATGGTCAGGTGGGGGGGGGGGGGGGTCACGGGTCATCCTCCTGTACGACCAGGGTCAGCGGGTCATGGGTCATCCTCCTGTACGACCAGGGTCAGCGGGTCGTGGGTCATCCTCCTGTACGACCAGGGTCAGCGGGTCATGGGTCATCCTCCTGTACGACAAGGGTCAGAGGGTCACCGGTCATCCTACTCTACGACCAGGGTCAGCGGGTCATGGGTCATCTTATACGACCAGGGTCAGCGGGTCACGGGTCATCCTCCTCTACGACCAGGGTCATGGGGGGTCACGGGACTCCTCTCCGAGTAGGTTCAGGGGTCATCTTCCGACTGTCTCTGTCCCAGCTCAGGGCCATTGCTATGAAGGGCCATTGCCCGAAACGTTGCCTGTCGGTAGACACTACCATATACTGAATACGCTTGCAACTTCATGATCGCGGTGTTGTTGACGGCCTGAGATGCGACCGCTCCCATGTTCGGCCACGGATGATTGCCACCATGTGCCAGTCGGGGGCGATGTTTGACCACCTGCTGGCCTTCCAGACATTCGTCCTATCAGACTTGAGCAGATAGGAGGCGGCACGTGACTCGTGGTCGCCGCAGGCACGCCGAGATGCCGCGTGCCGGGCGCCGGATTCTTTGAGGGGTCGCAAAATTTGAGCAGACCTGGCACACGCCTCGCCCTCTCCACCTCCACCCGTTGGAACTCCCTCCCCCAGGCAACTCGACCCGGTGTTACCCCCCTCTCTCTGCCTTGAAGTCTCTCCCCGAACCCTTGGTTGTCTGGGCTGACGGAACCGTGGATAACTCTCCTGTGCACTGTCTAGGGGGGGGGGGGGGGGGGCACTACCCCCACGAGTTGTGGTTGTGGTTGTTGTTGTGATTGTTGTTGTGGTTGTCGTGGTCGCTTCTCCTCCAGGCAAACACGTGGACGTGGCCTTCGTAGAGAAGCTGCAGCTCTCCACGAGGGTGGTGACCATGAGGCTCTCCCCGCCGGGCTCCCCCGAGCTGCGCACCCTCCTGGAGCGCGTGAGGCAGGAGCGGGTACGAGCCCCCCACACACCGCGTGACAACGCAGACAAGGGGTGGGTGCCTGGGGGGGGACACTTGTCTCTCCTGGGGGGGGTCACACGATGGGAGGAATTTCTCCTTGTAAAGCTGAAGTTTCCAATACTTCAAAGTCCTCGTTAACCACCCACCAACGTTCACGTTGCCCTCTTTACCATTTGCAATTTCGCCAATGACAACAGCGTTGTGACACACGCTGCACGCGCCCCATGATTGGTAAACACGCCACCCGTGGCGTATGGAGCTACGCCTCTACAGGGGTGGTGGAGGGGGGCAGGGTGTGGGGGGGACTGGGGGCTAGAGGGTTCGAGGGGGGGAGGGGGCAATCTGAAGCCATTCATCACGCAGCCACACGCACTGCTCCGCTACTCCTGACGCCGTTACGTGGCTTGGCCACCTGAGTCGTTGCTCTGCATCTGCATGAGCAGCCGTACGAAATAAGATGCCGAATGCCTTCAGATGGGGTGAGGCTGCCACATATCTGTGCGGCTCAACCCGCGACACGTGGGTGAAGCAGCCCGCGACACGTGGGTGAAGCAGCCCGTGACACGTGGGTGAAGCAGCCCGTGACACGTGGGTGAAGCAGCCCGCGACACGTGGGTGAAGCAGCCCGCGACACGTGGGTGAAGCAGCCCGCGACACGTGGGTGAAGCAGCCCGCGACACGTGGGTGAAGCAGCCCGCGACACGTGGGTGAAGCAGCCCGTGACACGTGGGTGAAGCAGCCCGCGACACGTGGGTGAAGCAGCCCGCGACACGTGGGTGAAGCAGCCCGCGACACGTGGGTGAAGCAGCCCGCGACACGTGGGTGAAGCAGCCCGCGACACGTGGGTGAAGCAGACTGCGACACGTGTGTGAAGCAGCCCGCGACACGTGGGTGAAGCAGCCCGCGACACGTGGGTGAAGCAGCCCGTGACACGTGGGTGAAGCAGCCCGCGACACGTGGGTGAAGCAGCCCGCGACACGTGGGTGAAGCAGCCCGCGACACGTGGGTGAAGCAGCCCGCGACACGTGGGTGAAGCAGCCCGCGACACGTGGGTGAAGCAGCCCGCGACACGTGGGTGAAGCAGCCCGCGACACGTGGGTGAAGCAGCCCGTGACACGTGGGTGAAGCAGCCCGCGACACGTGGGTGAAGCAGCCCGTGACACGTGGGTGAAGCAGCCCGAGACACGTGGGTGAAGCAGCCCGCGACACGTGGGTGAAGCAGCCCGTGACACGTGGGTGAAGCAGCCCGTGACACGTGGGTGAAGCAGCCCGCGACACGTGGGTGAAGCAGCCCGCGACACGTGGGTGAAGCAGCCCGTGACACGTGGGTGAAGCAGCCCGTGACACGTGGGTGAAGCAGCCCGTGACACGTGGGTGAAGCAGCCCGCGACACGTGGGTGAAGCAGCCCGTGACACGTGGGTGAAGCAGCCCGTGACACGTGGGTGAAGCAGCCCGCGACACGTGGGTGAAACAGCCCGCGACACGTGGGTGAAGCAGCCCCTCCCTCCCTCGTCCAACCCCGCCCACTTTCAATAGCCACGCCCATCAGGTCACTAGCTCCGCCCACACAATGTGGGGGGGGAGGGGGTGCGTAATGTTGCGAGCTGTGTGTCCCCTCTCCTCCTCCCCCGGCCTTCCTTGTAGGTGAGAAACATCATCATCAAGTGCCGCCGCTCGTGGCTACGCGACATCTTCATTGAGGTGAGACCCCGGGGGAAACGTAGGGGTCACGGGGTGACATAGGGGTTCATGGGAGAGAGGGGGTCACGGGAACAGAAGGGGAAGAGAGGTCACAAAGTGGTGGGGGAGGGGGGGGGGTGTTCGGTGAGGTCATGGGGTCGGAATTGTCACGGGGTTGGAGGAATCACGAAGTTGGAGGGGATTTGAGGATGGAGGGGTCAAGGAGCCAGAGAGAGCATGTGAGTCGGTGTGCGTCACGGTGCTGCCCACCCCGTGTGCTGCAGGCGGACGAGTTCGGACTGACCTCCCCCGTCTACCACTGGGTGCTGCCCATGCTGGTACCGCTCACGGCTCGCCACGTCACAACTGCCTCGTCACCACGTGACAACCTGACAACAACCAGCACCTCCTCGCTCACCATGCGACAAAACGCATCCTCACTTACCACGTGACGACCTGGCAACCGCCTCCTCGCCCATCACGTGACACCCTCCTCGCTCACCACGTGACAACCACCACGAACTCACTCCTTTGACTGCCACTCCATCGCTCGTCTGGTCCGCTGGAGATCGCCCATTCTAGCGGCCTGTTCTACTCGAGTCATTGTGACGTCAATAACCCACCACGTGACTAATACCACCGTGGCCCCCCCTGAGTCCCCCTGCCCCCTTGCCGTCCCCCACCCGCTCTCCCCTCCGCCCCCCTCCACCCATGTGCCCCTCCTCTCTGTCTCTTGTTTCCCCCTGCCACCGTAAACCCCTCTTAACCCTCGGCAGCCGCCATAGTAACGTGGAATTTCCACCGCTGGCTCAGGGCTATGCACAGGCGATGAGTACCCAGTGCCTCAGTGCTCGTGTGAGTGGCGAGTCTCTCTGGGTTCGAGTCGTTTCGTCGGAGAGATCTCTTTGTGTGCCTCACTTCTTTCGCGCCCTACGTAGCCACCTGCCGCCACCCGACTGCCCCCAGCACGCAATCTCCCACCCTCTCCTCAGCCCCCAGTCTCGTATCTACCCCCCCTCCCCACAATATGTAAACGCCCTAACTCCTCGCACCTTCCTTCCCCTAACCCTAACACCCCCCACCCCACCTCTCCGAACCCCCCTTGCCAACAACTTTCTCCATCACTCCCCCTCACTGCCCCTCCCTACTGCCCCCACTGGGCCCACACCCTCCTGAGACTCCTTGGTCCCTCTGTCCAACTCGTCCGCTCCACCCTCTCCGGCCGGCCCTGTGACCCCACCGCGTGTCCTCTCCCTGACCCGGAGTCGAACTCAGGCCGTACTATTGCACCTCGACGAGTCCCCTTCGCGCCCAGCAGCGGACCGCAGACAGGGGGCTCAAGCGAGCTGCTGGACATTTGCCGAGTCGGGCCTCGACCCACCGCGCCGTCATCTCCAGCCCCCCCTCTCCCCCCGTAACCCTCCCATCATCCCTGACCCGCGTGACCCGCACCAGGAGTCGAACCCTCGATGGCTGCTGCAGCTGCCGCTGAGCTGGGGCTGGGCGCGCGCGACGGTGATGCGGGTGCTGGGCACGGCGGGCGGGCAGCCGTGCAGCACGCCGGGCGCGGCCGGGGCGTGCGCCACCACGTGCCTCCTCCTGCACGACGCCGCCGTCTTCCTCGCCGCGCCCAAGGGACGCAGGGGGTGCTCCGCGGAGGCGCTCGAGGGGGTGCGCGTCTCCCTACATCCACCGAGCGAGGGAGGGAGGGATGGGGCGGAGTGGGGGACGATGTCGACATCGTTTGGCAGGCAGCCGTATAGACAAACGCTGAATGGGCTCGGACAAGATTGGGTGGCATGCATGTGTGTTGAACGTAGCCAGGTGCGGCAGTGAACGTGTTGGGGAGAGCAGAGCAAGGGTACACAACAAGACTACGAATGAGAATGATTGGAGAAAGGCAGAAGTTAGAATTATTCCTTGGGACATGGTTAGAGTATTTGAGCTGGAATACATTTCCACGTGATAATCCACTTCGTTGAGCTATCATTTGTGGCGAGGTCTCTTGTGAAAAAGAGCGATATAGCTCAGTGAGTCTTACTTGGTAAAATAAAAAAATAGTTTCGTTTAAAATAAGAGACTGAAAATAAGTGTTGTTTTGACTAATGACAAACATTAGAGGTACTGCAAGAAATCGGCGGAAGACAGCGACTTGAGTTTCACCGTGGGCAATAAGAAAGATTGTATGCAACCGGAAGGAGGATCCGATTGCAAAGTTGTTGGGTAAATCTCATGGACAGGGCTGAATGGATGGAAGGCCACCATGATCGCCGCTGGCTCTGAGGGAACACGTGGCCCACGGAGTATCACGTGGCCCACAGAGCAGCACGTGCCCACAGCAGCACGTGCCCACAGAGCAGCACGTGGCGCACAGCAGCACGTGGCCACAGAGCAGCACGTGGCCCACAGAGCAGCACGTGACTCAGAGCAGCACGTGGCCCACAGAGCAGCACGTGGCCCACGGAGTATCACGTGGCCCACAGAGCAGCACGTGGCCCACGGAGTATCACGTGGCCCACAGAGCAGCACGTGGCTCACACAGCAGCACGTGGCCCACGGAGTATCACGTGGCCCACAGAGCAGCACGTGGCTCACAGAGCAGCACGTGGCCCACAGAGCAGCACCTGGCCCACAGAGCAGCACGTGGCTCACAGAGTATCACGTGGCCCACAGAGCAGCACGTGGCTCACAGCAGCACGTGGCCCACAGCAGCACGTGGCTCACAGAGCAGCACGTGGCTCACAGAGCAGCACGTGGCTCACAGAGCAGCACGTGGCCCACAGACACAGAGAAGGAGGGAGACTCATCCGTCGTGCAAATTGCAATGCGAGTCCAGTACTTTGTGGGACTATAGTATCATCGCAAGTTTAAGCACAAAATAATACAGTTCTCACCTTCCAATGGTGAACACGGCCAACCAAGGGCCAGCTGAGAACCTCCGGCCTCTCACGCCACCTTCATAGCCAAGGGGGTGGGGGTCCCCACACCACAACGACCCCCCGTATCGCCTTAACACACTTTACGGGCAAGGTACATTTGCGCTGTTAGCGAGTAGCACCTAAGAAGGCCGACACGGCACACGAGGTGGTGGGTGGCCAGCACCACGCCCGACCGCCTTTGTCTCCCCAGTGTCGATGTTTACTTACACACCGCGCACGGGTTTAGATCATCGTCACTGGTGTTGGTGGCCGTGAGCGCGAAACATATTCGGGTTCGCCGGGTTCGGAGCGGGCGCGCTAACCACTGCGGTGGCTCCGAGCCATCGATCCGCGCCAATCGCCTGCAGGGGTTGTCGGTACGCCCCGGCACAGTCACACGCAGCAGCATAATCATTCACATCACGGTGAACCCCACACGGTTAACCCCGTGTCCTTGTGCAGGGAAATCTAGTTCTCGCGTCCTACAGCCGTTTCAATCCTGGCAACAACAACAACAACATGTTTGTGTCTATTTGTGTTGCTCTCCTTGTGATGGGACTTTGTAGGATGAACGTTGAGATTGGTAAGGGGCACGGGGTGACCAATGAGGTCTGAATTGGTCTCTAATCAGGTAGGCACTGGATAAGGGGTTGACAGGTATGCATTCGCGTCGTTGTGACACAATATAGATGTGTATTGCACGTATAGTATTTTCCTACTTAGGTACGCGAATCATTAACCTACCTATAATTAACGCACCCATCGTAACTACGCGATGACCACACGTCCCGGATGATTGCCACCGATGTCATTGACGAGTCGCGTTCATTGTAGGGGTGGGAGGGGGTCCGCGTCACGTGGTGCTGCCCCCCCCCCCCCCCTGCCCGCCCGCCCCGTGTGACCCCCATAGCGAGTGGTGCAGGGCCTCACGGGACCCGTGCAGTTCGCACCGGACGGCTTCCGCAAGGACGTCCACTTCTCTCTCTACAGCCTCGAGCTGGGGCGGAACGACTCCGTGAGTTGCTCCAGCACCCGCCCCCCCCCCCCCCCGCCTCGTGATACAGCCCCCCCTCCCAGCCCACCCCCACCACTATCCAGCCCCCACTGATCAAGCCATCTCCTCCCCCAACCAGCAGCCCCGACTCCTCCAGAAACTCTTCCTTCATCCTGCCCCCCCCAACTCTAGCAGTCCCCCCCATCCCTCCCCGTTCCAGCATCGCCTCCCCCCCCCCTCTACCTGGCGGGGTCACAGAGGTCGCCGTCTCTCGCATTCATGCCCCGAGTCTCATTGCGCCGAGGAGGAGGAGGAGAAGGAGAAGAGGGGGTGCGGATTTCTCACCTCGACCCCGGTGGCGCCTTTTGACGTCGTAACCTCGAGCGACTCCTTTTTTTTTCACTTCGAGCCCCTGTGATTCCTTATGACCCGTGACCCCGTGTGACCCCCCCCCCCCCCTTGTGACCCCGCCACAGCGCGAGGTCAGGGTGGGTGACCACCGTGCGGGCCGCACGTCCTTCACCCCCGAGCTGCAAAGTCTCCCCTCGCCCTCCGTGTTCAAGGGGAGAATCGTGCGGGTCATCGCCGTGGAGGTGACGCCATCACCACCACCACCACACTCACCATTTATCATCATCACCGCCAAAGACAAAGATCCCCCGTGTAGCCTGAACACACTGTTTGGGCAAGTTCTGTTTGTGAGCAGCGCCTATGAAGGCCGGCACGGCACACGAGAGGGTGGGTGGCCGGCACCACGCCCGGCCGCCTTTGTCTCTCCAGTGGCGATGTTTAAACATCGCACAAGGTACTTGTTTGAGGCTGAATCGACCTAGGGGACGCCCAAAACCAGTTCAGATAATCGTCACTAGTGTTGTCCGTGAGTGGGAATCGAACCCAGTTCGCCGGGTTCGTAGCGCAGCACCCTAACCGTAGCACTACCGCTCCCCTTGCAATCACCACCACCATCGTCACATTCAACATCATCCCAATAATCATCACCACTACCATCAACTCACGGCGAGGTTGCTCGCGCGGTTAATGGTGAGATGATGGTGAGATTGCCACGCGGTTGACACGTGGTTGACAGTGATTTAGACACGTGGCTGCTTGGTGAGTTTACCACGTGGTTGACACGAGATTGACAGTGATATAGACACGCGGTTGACAGTGATTTAGACACGTGGCTAATGGTGAGTTTACCACGTGGTTGACACGTGGTTGACAGTGATATAGACACGTGGCTGATGAGCTTACCACGTGATTGACACGTGGTTGAGAGTGATATAGACACGTCACTGATGGTGAGTTTGCCACGTGGTTGACACGTGGTTGACAGTGATATAGACACGTGGCTGATGAGCTTACCACGTGGTTGACACGTGGTTGACAGTGATATAGACACGTCACTGATGGTGAGTTTGCCACGTGGTTGACACATGGTTGACAGTGATATAGACACGTTGCTGATGAGCTTACCACGTGGTTGACACGTGGTTGACAGTGATCTAGACACGTGGCTTACGGTGAGTTTGCCACACGGTTGCCATCCTCTCCTCCCCGCGTGCTGCAGGAGCCCCCTCTGTTCGGCTGCGTCCCTGGCTGTGCGAGGCCCTGCTCCCCGGCGTGTGGCCGTTTCCAGGGCTTCCTCTACGAGCTGCTGAAGGATCTGTCCTTGAAGCTCAATTTCAGATACGTCATCTCCAATGTGACTTCGGGCATCCAAGACAAAGACGTGATGCAAGACATCCAGAAGAAGCTCACAAAGAACGAGGTGAGCTCTGCTCGCCGCGACGCTTACACTCGCCTCACTCGCAAATGAGTGGTGAGAATATGCGCTCACCTGTGCAGGGTGAGCGTTCTTGAGTGGTGAGCGCCTGTGGGTAGTGTCTCCGGGGTAGTGTTCTGTGGGTGGTGAGCACATGTGGGTAGTGTCTGTTCTCACTTGTGGGTGAGTGAGCGTCTTTGGATGGATGAGCAACTGTGGATTGTGAGCTCCTGTGCTTGGTTCTCACCTCTGCTTAGTGTTCACCACTTCGTCTCCCTCTCACCTGTCCTCACCCCCCCCCCCCCCAAGGCTGACTTCACGCTGTGCCTGTGCCCCGTGCGGGGCAACCAGGAGAACCGTGAACTGGAGTTCTCCTTCCCACTCATGGACCGCGGCTACCAGATGCTCATTCGCAAGCCCGAGAGGGAGCTGTCCGGGGCCTTTGAGTTCCTCAACCCCTTCCACGTTTTGGTGGGGTGTGGGGCCATGGCGGTGGGAGGCGGGTGGAGTGTCAGTGTGATGGCGCCAGCCAGCCGGTGCCACGTAGAGACACCTGCCGCTGGGGGGTTCCCTTAAGCTGGACTGCCGTAGAGCAACGGAATGGTCGAGACGAGATGTGTATGGTTGCTTTGAGGTTGATATTTGTCTCGTAGTGTTGATATCGCGAGTTGGTGGTGGATATGGTGACGGTGTTATCTCAGCGTGGAGAAATATCAAGATGGGAGCTTTTTTGCCAGTATCAAAATGATGACAAAAATAAGAATCGACTTAACCCCTTCTGGCAAGAAGCTCAAACGCCAAATAGATAACAATGACAAGGCATCAAGTCCTGGTTAAACCACACACAGTACTTGTTGCAAAACATGCAAACAAACATGCTCTGATAATATCTGCATTGCTTTTGAAAGTCCACCAGAGACGGCGTTCTTTTTGGCCTTGTCTCACCATTGTTAGACCAGAGAATGCCAAAAGACGTCCAGTACAAAGACAATGCAAGTGTAGTGTTCGATTTCACTCGGACAACTTCTGTCTTTCTCCGAACACCGCTTTATTTACAACTCTCCGCATGTCCTCCACATTCCACAGTATCCTGGTCGCCAGGGCTCGCTCGCTGTGCTTCACTCGACTCGCTCGCCACCTTTGTCTCTCCACTCCCCACGATTACTTCGCTTGCTCCGCATTTAGCGACTCCGCGCTCAGCAACTCCGCACACAGCGTCTTCGCACACAGCGATTTTGCACACAGCGTCTTCTGCTCCGCTATCGGTACGCTCTCTCCACTACTCGCTATTCTCGTCTCCAGCTCCGCTATCGCTACGCTCTCTCCACTGCTAACTACTTCTCTTCTTCAGCTCCGCTATCGCTACGCTCTCTCCACCGCTAACTACTTCTCTTCTTCAGCTCCGCTATCGTTACGCTCTCTCCACCGATAACTACTTCGTCTTTGTTCAGCTTCGCTCTACACTCTGTTTCCAAACTCTGTCTCCAATTCTGTCTCCAAACTCTGTTTCCAATTCTGTCTCCAAACTCTGTTTCCAAACTCTCCTCCAAACTCCACGTCTTGCCTCGTCCAGCTCCTAACTCCAACTCCCCCTCCAATTGCCGACCCCCCAATGTATCCCCACTCTCATTACGCCCCAATTAATTAGTCCGCGTCCCAACGGCGCCCCATGTGATCCGTACACCTGTTTCTCGCCAGACTTCATGATGCCTCTCCAGCCCCGGCAACAGCACCAACCAATCACAGCCGTCCTTGGCTCTCCCAGCTTAGTTGCCCCAACGTAACCTGCATTGTATTTGCCTTCGTTACAGGCTGACCCAACATGAACCGCACTGTCTCTGTTTCCATGCAATACGCACCTTTCTACTCCACCACACAAGTATCAAAGTATGAATAGCTCGGGTTGAGCAGTTTTATCAATGGGACCTTTTTGCCAGATGGTAATGTCTCAAGGTGGTGGTGATATCCTCAAAGTGGTGGTGACATCTCAAAGTGATGACGGTGATACGTCAAAGTAATGATGGTGATATCTGAAGGTGGTTATGGTGGTATCTCAAGCTGCTGGTGATATCTGAAGGTGGCGGCAGTGGTGCTTTCTCAAGGTGTTGGTGATATGTCAAGTAGGGCGGGAGGGTTCCGTGCTCACGTCACCGCTGCCCGCTGTGCAGGTCTGGTTGTCCATCCTCCTCGCCTGCATCGTGGTCGCCTTCGTCCTTGCTGCCATCAACCGCTTCGACCCCTACGAGTGGCGCAACTTGGCCAAGCGTGGCAAGGTGTCTCCACACGTGCCAGCATGCATCATCATCATCATCTCCATCATCTCCACACGCACTACGTGCGTCGCTAGCATCATCATCATCATCAACCCCTTTGCCTATCACTCAAATCCACCGCTGGATGAGGGCCTTCACCCACGCTCTCCTCCGTTACTCATGAGCAACTAAGCAACGGGTCTCTTTGTGGTGGGGCCCTCTGCTGTGTGAGGCCATGGTGAAAGTGGCCTTGAATCGCCCCCCTCCCCACCTCCGGCCGCAGGTGTCCCGCGAGGAGGGACGCGGCATGGACCTCCTCAACTGCCTGGGCTTCACGTTGGTCAGCATGGTGCAGCAGAGCGTGAGCGTCGTGCCGCGCTCCTACGCCGGCAAGATCGTCGCCTTCTCCTGGTGGTTCTTCGTTCTCGTCACCATCTCCACGTACACCGCCAACCTGGCCGCGATCTTCCAGTCGCAGAACTCGCCCAAACTCGAGTCGCTCGCCGACCTCGTCGACCAAAACGACTTCAAGTACAACACCTACCACGGTTACCCGCTGGTGGAGTTCCTGCGCGGCGCACGGTCGCAGCCCTTCCAGGCCATCTGGGAGCACATCGAGCAGAACAGCAAGAACGACCCCAAGCCGCACCTGCTCAGCTCCGAGGAGGAGGGCCTGCAGATGGTGGGCAACAGCAGCTTCGTGTTCCTGGGCTCCAGCGCCGCGGTCTACCGCGCCACCACCACCAACTGCACGCTGCAGGTGTGGTGGCGGCGGTTCGCGTGGTGATCACGAGCGAGGCCCGCGCGGGTGGTTGTGTGACGCGTGATTGCGTGGTGCATGCGTCAGGCAAGGTGGTCGCGTGGTCGCTGCGGAGCCAGATCGTCCGTAGTGGTGGTGTGGAGGTGTGGAGGTGTGGAGGGTGGAGGGGTGGAGGTGTGGAGGTGTGGAGGTGTCGAGGTGTGGAGGTGTCGAGGTGTGGAGGTGTGGAGGTGTGGAGGTGTGGAGGTGTCGAGGTGTCGAGGTGTGGAGCTGGTGCTAGCATGACAGGTGGCACACAGACGAGATGGAGCAATGAAATTTGTCCGTGTGCAAGAGCTGGATGAATCGTTTCCATCCATCACTGGCCTTGTGACCGCAATTGATGGAAACAGCCTGGGGAGTCTATCGCCATAGAGACGCTGATGATGATGATGATGGTGGCGATGATGACAACTAATTAAAATTGACAATTCAACGAAAACACGGCCACTTTTCTTTAGACGTGCACCTTTGATAACCAACTCGTTCGTTCCAAATTGAACGCCCCCCCCCTCTCCATCCCCCTTTGTTTGCAGGTGGCTGGCGAGTTGTTCTTCAAGTCCAAGACGGCCCTGATGTTCCCGCGCGGCTCGGTGCTCCGTGAGCCCGTGTCGCGTGCCCTCATCGCGCTGCAGCGAGAGGGCCGCCTCGAGGAGCTGGAGGAGGAGTGGCTCGAGGCCAAGGGCCCCCACTGCGAGGGCAAGGACTCTGGCTCGGAGAAGACGGTGGACGTCAACGACACAGAGGGCATCTTCTACCTGCTGTGCATTGGCCTGTCGCTGGGCTTCATGGTGAGCACGCTGGAGGTGGCCTGCCACCGCGCCCTGCGCGACAAGAAGAAGCGCAATCACTCCATGCACGCCAGCAAGCAGCCTTCCATGTAAAAATTATTGTTTTTTTTCGCAAACGATAGCTCAACGAAGTGGCTTATCGCGTGAAAATGTAGAGGAGGCAAAACGCTCTAAATGCGAGTTGATTAGAAAATGTGGAGGGAAAAACCGGAGGACTTGGAGAATGTAGCCTCGCGGTGGTGAGGTCGATGGTGGTGGTTCTTGTGGTGGTGAGCCTGATTGGAGTGAGCCTTGGGGTGAGGGTGGTGGTGGACCTTGGCGTTTGTGTCAGCCTTTTGTGGTGGTGAGCCTCCGTGTATTGAGACCTAATGCAGAGTCATCAGCGAGCCTCCCAGTGAGTAAGATTTATAGTGAGCCCGGGTTTTCAGTTCCCTGTGCAGTGAGCCGATCGGTGAGCCTTCTAGCGAGGCTCTCATGTAGTAGCAGTAGTAGTAAGTCGTGTCGTGAACAAGCTTTCTGCAGTGCAGAAGTCAACCTCGTCGTCGGAGACTACACAGCAAACCTGAACCACGACTAGTTCAGGTATCGCTCGCCACTGATGTCAGCCGTGGCCAGGAAGTTCAGAGTGCAGTGTGCGAACAAACCGCCTGCAGGACCACTGCTCCCACCACTGATGGATGTGCGTCTATGTGGTATTATCATCATTATCATCATCTGCACCAGCCATGGTCAATCCGCTGCTGGATGTATATGTGTATTTAATCTCACATTCGGTATTCTTATTTCACTTGGCTTCTAATGAAGGTGTCCATATCTGGCTAATGTAATCCGTGTAATAGAGTCAGGTGTGCTACTTAATACACGCAGTGGAACATCTAATTAGTGTAGCTCCATGCAGATGTGATGAGTGTGTAGCGATGCATCGATTCGTGAAAATAAAATGTATTAAGCTCACGGTACAAGCTCTTGTGTGTAATAATCATATAATTCCATTACAACCTATTAAGGATGTAGCCATGGAGTCAACATTGGGGGGTACCAAATCTTCCAGAGGGTCTGGGGGTCCCCCCCCAGAAATGTTTTTTATTTGAAAAGGAATTTCCTGCCATTTCCTGCCTAAACCATTAAAAAATTCACTAACACATAGGATGGATTTTTTTTACAATAATGTCTAATAGTGTTATTGTATTACATTGCTCTGTTTTTTTTCTTTTTTACCTTTTCTTGTTTCATTGTATGTAATGGCAGAGATGAGGGATTAATAAAGTAACAACCATAACCACAATCATATTCACAGAAATCTATTCTATAGCAATATATTGGGGGGGGGGACATTTTGAGCATATTTATATTATAGTTACGGCCTTGCAACCTACCAATACTGAACTCTACACACAGCACAAAACGATAACGAAGCAGCGAATACACCTCCTTCATGACCACCCGTCTCTCCACGTGCACAAAGACAGCGTTTTGACTCATCCCATCAGCCGCGCACATGGCCCTCTGGGAGTCTGATCATGTCAGCAGCATTGTGTTGGGTACAAGCAAAACTCTGGACCGGTTTCAACATTCAGTGTCTCATCAGCAGATTCAGCCTTGCTTGAATTTATGATACATGATGGACATATATATTGTTTGCTTATCTATTCATTACACTCTCCACAATGACGCGAATGATTATTTTGGGTAGTGCAAAACCTACGTGCAATGTGCATGTACCATCCTTTATGCATTCACGCCACGAGGCTTATGGGGGTTAATTGGCCATACTTCACCACACTGGTCTGCTGCCCACAACGTTTTTCCATATTATTTTCTGTGGCTGAGAGTAATCTGGCCTGGTGGCTCAGCGGTAAAGTTCATATCCCGGTTGTGAATTAACTCAGCCCATCATCATTATCCCTCTAGGGCCGATAAAAAAACGACCACGTTGTGGGTAAGTCAACAATGGTTGTACTATGGAGAAATTCGCTCCCGCCATAGCAATGTGGAATTTATGCCACTGGCTTTAGGGCCGTGACAAGGATATGAAGTCAATAACAGTGGCTGTCCTATGTTTTGTTTAAGTCTCTCTCCCCTTCCCGTACCCCACCACAGGAATGTGGAATTTCCACGACAGGAGATCATGAGTGCCTCAATACTCCTCTTCTTGGTTCTTTCGGTAAAGTCACGTAGAAGGAAAATAATAAAAGAATAAAAATAAAGTAATAAAATAAAATTCCCACGACGTTTCGGCCACAACAATACTCGTCGGGAGCGTGAAATCACACTTTTGACTACAGAGTGACTGAGTCGGGTCCTGTGCGATTCGTGCGATCATCCAGCAACTTTAAGGCATTGATTACAGGGGTCATAGTCTAGCCACGGCGACTGAATTACCTTTCCTACACCTTGCTCTCCTGTCGTTATTTTTGTATTGTGGTGGTTGCTGTTGTTGTAACATTCTGAGCCCCCCCCCCCGCCCCTTACTGGACACCAAAGAGCTTTACAGCTCATCGGATTTACTCCCCGCACGCAACGAACGCGGGGGGGGGGGGTCAAGGTGACGGGGGTCACGTGAGCGGCCGCGCGTGACGTCACGCCGCCGCGCCCCTCCCCCCCGCGCGTGACTCGAGGCCGCCGTTGCCCCTGGCGACGCCGTCATGGCGCCCGCGCTCGTCTCCGAGGGGCTGGCGCGGCGTGGAGGCGACGGCGTCGTCCGTGCTGATGGCGGCGGCGGCGGCGCGCTCACAGAAACATCGCTCCGAGTAATGTCGGCACGGCGCCCTTGACCGTTGAGCCACGCCGCTTCGCGCGCGTTGTGGAACTTGCCGGGCGTCGGCGGCGCCGCTTCGCGACATCGCCCGAGCCCGTTCGGCCCGCGCAGCGAGTAGGGGGGGGGGGGGGTCCCCGTGCTGTCGGAGGGGGTCCTGTTGGGGGGGTCCCCGTGCTGTCGGGGGGGTCCCCGTGCTGTCGGGGGGGTCCCCGTCCTGTCGGGGGGGTACCCGTCTTGTCGGGGGGGGGGTCCTGTCGGGGGGGGGGGTCCTGTCGGGGGGGGTCCCCGTCCTGTCGGGGGGGGGGGTCCCCGTCTTGTCGGGGGGGGTCCCCGTCTTGTCGGGGTCACGTAGACGAGAGAGGGGCAGGGAGGGAGGCAGGTTGGGAGGGCGAACAGCGATGCGACCGCCCATGAGTTTAATTCGACGAAGGTGGAATTCATTGGTCGCCGCTGTCGCGTCGCATTAGTCGCGCGTGCAGCGTCGACCTCCGCGGGGGGGTGTGGTAGTGGTGGTGGTGGTTGTGGTAGTGGTTGTGGTGGTTGTGGTGGTGGTTGTGGTAGTGGTGGTTGTCATCGCCTTGTCGACTGGTTGCGCGAGTCGCAAGTTGAAAGTGAGGGAGTGTGTGAGAGCCGCAAGTTGAGAGTGAGAGAGTTGCAAGTTGAAAGTGAGAGAGTCGCAAGTTGAGAGTGAGAGAGTCGCAAGTTGAAAGTGAGAGTGTGAGAGAGTCGCAGCCCGCACCGTCACCACTCGACGACTCCGATCGGAATCGTCGGGCCGCGTTCGTCGTTTCACGGTGTGTGTGTGGTGCTGACAACAACAACAACACCACCACCACCACGACGTCGTCGTCGTGAGCGTTGTTGGCACAACAACGTCGACCCGCGCACGCGTGCACATGGGGCAGCATCGCCACGGCGACGTTTCAACACCCGCAGCGTCGGCGCACGAAGATTCATCGCAGATCTCCCATCAGTGGTGATGCGCGCACCGTCTGTTACCCATCACGAACGTAGGTTGCAGTGCGTGACTTTAATCGCACGGTCTTCACTTGCGGCACGGTGACTGGATAATCGTGGTATTTAATGAAGAGTTTGTGCAATCGATAGAATCGCGCGAAATCACTGATTTTGCGTTAATCGCACAATCACGCGGCACTTAAATCGTCGCACACCTGCAGCGGCATAAGCGCCTCCGATTAGCACGGTTGGCTACGTACGGTGCGAAAGAAGCCCAACTACGTGCGTGCGTACATTCGAGAGCGGACACGAGACACCGCAGGGGGCCACCCCTCACTCCCCTCCCTCGCCGCGACGAGGTCCCCGGGACATGCGGGGCCCATGGAGGGACGAGGAGACGCGGGTCCCGTGGGGGGACGAAGAGGAGGGGACACGGGCCTCGTGGCGAGGCGAGGAGGAGACGCGGGCCCCGCGGAGGCGCGAGGAGCACGACCCGGCGGAGGGGACACGGGGACCAAGGAGGGACAGGGGGAAGGCTCGCACCGGGACCCCAAGGGGAACCGGCGCCCGAGGCCCGAGCCTTCTCTCTCCTCGCCCCCGCGGGCCCCGCGCCTCCCCTCGCCCCTCGGGGGTCGCGGCGAGGAGCCACGGACACCGCGAGGCTCGGGCCCTGGAAGCAGCAGAGGGGGGGAGCGGCGGCGCCGGAGGCGACAGCGGGAGGAGTCCGGGAGGCTGCCCCCACTGGGACCGGGCACACGGGGAATGCTCACCTCTCCCTACCTGGTACCGAACTGTGTTCACTCACGCTGGTATCTCTCATGTCACTTTTGTACTCGCCCTGGTACCTGGTACTGCGTGTACTCCCCTTTGGACCAGGTACCGTGTTGTGTGTGCTCACAACTGGCACCGGTACCCCGTGGACTCCGCTGCCATTCTCTCATCAGGGATTGCTTCTGTTGAGAGGACCGTGTAGCTCGTGTCGATACATAGAATGATGTCAGTTTACGTGGCGTCTAAATGCAATCGCATCTCAAGACGCTTTAAAAAATATACATCGGAGCAGAAGGCAAATGCGGGAGAGAGGAGAGCAACACAGCCCGAGTTGAAGCTCCCAGGGCCCAGCACCACCAACAAGAAACAACGATTCCCAGGGACAGCTTTCCACAACCAGTGCATCACCAACAATTCCCAGAGCAATAATCGGGGGGCTCATTCACCATCGCGTCCCAGGGCATCCATGGGAGACTGGGGCCCATTCACCAACGAATCCCCAAGGGTGTCTCGCGGTGAGCCTCGTTTTTCGACGAATTCGAGGGCAGCTTGAATCGAGAGGTTTTCCCATTTCGTTTGTTCAGCCGGAGCTGAGCAACGGCGAGACAGACGAGGATCGCACAAGGAGCCTGGGACGTTTATCGCTCCCGGCTCCCCCCTGCCTCTTCCAGGCGGCTCCAGGTGGGTGGTGGACAGGGTCCAGGGCTGTTGGGTGAGGGGAAGGTGGGGAAGTTTGCTCCATTCTTCTTAGCCGAGGGGGTCTTGTCTGACATTTTCCCCCGGGCATTCAAAAACACTTAAGTGGCCTTGGACAAGTGAATCGATTGGCAGTAGCCCAGGTCACCGCAAAATATTGGTGGGCCGGGCATAGTTTAAGGTTTTTTTCTGGGAGCATCGCTGGTACCACCCTGTCCTGCCGGAGGGCGACGCTGGGAGCGATGATGACGACGATGTCGATCCCGCCAGCACGACCGTGATCGCCGGCCGTACCAAGAGAGCGCCCGGTGCGCCATTGCCTCCAAGTGTTCACGCTCCCAAAGACAAGGGGGTGGCCGCCCCCGTAAGAAGCAGAACGTGCTGGGGAATGACCAGACCAGTATCCTGATGTACTTTCAAAACAAGCAATAAACAGCTGTTGCCACGCACAAATCCCCAGCAGCCCCCCTTTTTTATGGGTGTTTTGTGTGTGTTTTTTATTTCCATATTTGACGTGCGTATCGGGCTCAGTGACATCTCCCGTCTTCATAGGTCTTCTGGTTTCGGAGTTATGGAGGTTTTGGCACCCCTGGGCCACGATGGTGAGACCCGGGTCAACGCCAATCGATTCAAGTGTCGTGAGAATTTTATTGTGTTATTTTGTTTTATCAATTTGTTATTTTATTCTCATTCTACGTGACTTTACCGAAAGAACCAAAGAAGATCAAGTGTACCTCTCGCTCACAGACCCCATTTACCCCCACAGAGAGGGTCCCATTGCCACTCTTGTCTCTCACCTGTGGAGGTGCGCAATTCTGAAGGAGTCCACGCGCCTTTCTGCTCTTTGCTGAAGCTTTATGGTCACAGCCTTGCGTGGCCAGAGGCAGTAGCGTGGTTGGCACGTACCCCGGTGGGTTCTGGCCACCCAGCCCCTCCCTCTTCGTAGCTTGGTGGCTCGGCTCCTCGGGCCCATAGGACCCGATGCAGTCGAACGTCTGCACATTCGATAGCTACGCCGCCACTTGCTCCTGTTGCTCACCGTCCACCTCCCAGCAGTGAAGTTCTGCTTGCGATGGTCCGTGTGCTGTGCGTGTACGCACAGGGCAGGAGCTGCCTGACATCCGAGCACAGAAGAGCAGGGCGTCTCCTCACGTCCCGCGGTACAGGACCGCACGCCAGTTCGTGTGAGTGAGCACCCGCGCCTCGCAATTCACAGCGTGGCGCCCTGCAGCTTTACAAACAGGCGCATCACTGAGTCTGTGACCTCCAATTAGCACGGTTGGCTATGTACGGTGCGAAAAGACGTTCAGCATACATACGTGTGTGTGGGGGGCAAGAGAGTTGATATCCTGGGGTGGGAGGGGGGCGGTGAGGCCAAGGCATCTCCACAGATGCCAAGGAGGAATGAAGCGCAATTGTTTTGCATTGAGGAGTTGTAGCCGAGGGGATAGAACCCGAGGCTGTTTAGTTTTACTATGCAGGTGTTGTGGGATCGCATCCCAGCCTTAGTTTTTTTATAACGTTTCCCTCGGCTTCAGCGTGTTTCCACGGAGCAGCAGTATGAATCGCTACCGGTTGCATGTTCGTACACGGCAGTTGAACACAATCTACTAGCACAACTTTAAGGGCACACTTGTGTTGTGGGGAAACACGATGTTTTGGACAAGGAGGGTTAGGGTGGCAGACGTTCTGCAGATTGAAAAGACCGCAAGAGGTGGAGAGAGTTGATTCCTAAAGCATCGCTGGTAAGGGATGTATTTTGATGCTGACGCGTGTTGCTGTCCGTGCGTGCAATAGCGAGGATGTGGAGAGCGCCCAGGGAAGCGGCGACTGGAGTCTCGTGCGGGAGTTCTACGCCCGCACCTTCGACTCCTTCCAGGAGGTGAACTCGGCTTTTAAGGTACGACCACAATGCCTCCGTCACATGGGCAGTGTCTGTACAGGGGGTGGCCACGTGGGTCATCGTGTGTGTGTGTGTATTCGTCGACTCGGCCTCAAGTGAATAGCTGGTGCGATGTGTAAAAATCGGTCGGATGTGGTTCTGGCCACCCACCCTCCCGTGTGCCGTTCCGGCCTTCATAGGTGCTTGCCAAGAGCACTTGCCCCAACAGTTTGTTAAAGGCTACACGGGAGATATTTGTATTTGTGTGTTTTTAGAGGGAGCTACACATGGGACTGGATGGAGCAGGAGTCCACATTGCGTTACTCGATGCGGTCTACGATGTCATCCTGTACACGGTCAGCAACGACACTGTGCCGCACCTTTACCCATTCATAAGTTTGTACTAACACTGCGACCCACGACCGCTACCTTAACATATTAATACGTTTATCAGCAGCAAGATATGAACAATAAGAAGAGCATTGTTTGACTGCATCATTGGCCTTGTGGACACTGGGTGTGAGCGTCGGCGCGTGGCGTGGGCGCACGCTGTATAACGCGCTGTGCTCGTTGTGCTGTGAAGCTGACCGCGCGCGTTGTTCTGCACCGCAGCCCGCAGAGGTGCAGAAGGCCACGCTGAAGGGAATCATCAACAGCCTGCTGCGCGAGTGGAGGGGGTGAGTTGGGGATGTGGAAGGAGTGGGTTGTTGAGCGCGTGACGTTGCACGTGTGCGCGAGTGGAGACCTTTTACGCTGCTAATTTGTGGGATGCACACCTACTCTTTGTTTTTTTTTGGTAAAGTCACGTAGGTAAAAAAAATTAATTAAATAAATCACGCCGTTTCGGGCGCAACACAAGCGTCCTTCTTCAGGTGGGGACAACACACCGCTTAAGTGTGTTTACCCATATTAATGTACAGTGTGTTTACCCATATTAATGTACAGTATAGGGAAACTTCGTTTTCGGGTCCATACAGCGTACAGCTGTTTAAATACGGGCAACATTTTTTTGTCTATGTGTTTTTCCCTTGTGATGGGACTTTGTAGGATGAACGTTGAGATTTATAAGGGCACAGGGTGACCAATAAGATCTGAATTAGTCTCTAATAAGGTAGGCATTGATAAGGGGTTGACAGGTATGGGAATGTGCAGGCCCCTTCAAAAGGTGCACGCTGAACGGTCGTGAATTTACAATCGCAGCGTGTGCTGCAGTGATTCATGATTTGCTGCGGAGGATTGTGGCGTCTCGGGGAGGGAATTGAGTCACTGCTGGGTCATTAGTGGGTTTTTGTCATTGTTACTGCATTTGCACGCAATCCTGTTAGCTTTGGGTAATCATGATATATACTGAAACGTTTATAAACCCAATGCTTTAAAGACGACGGAAACGGCACTGCCACCTGTTTTTATCCATCGTTTCAGACCGAGGACTAAAGATGATTTGCGAGCGTACTTCATCCTGTTGCAGGTACGACCTCCCTCCCCGTCTATGCTGTGGGTACTTGGCTCGGTCGATCTGGTCAAATTATGAATGACATACATTTACATCCTGTTCGCTAGTAGGATACGTTTTTTGGAAAAGTTTATACATTTCTATCCATTATATACAGTTTATAAACAAAATTTTATTTGAATAAACTGTACTTGTCCATATTCTTTGGTTCTATTCGGTAAAGTCACGTAGGTAAAAAATAAAACAACAAAAATCACGACGTTTCGGCCACAACACAAGCGGCCTTCATCAGGTGAAGGGACCAGACTGTCTCGAGGACAGCGCTGGAGTGAAACACAGCCAAGCTCAGACCGCAACCTTTACGCTGTGTGAGAGTAATTAAGGTGCCTTGACAAAGGAATTAGCATATACATTTGCATTTAATAGGCGGACTTAGCATGATGAAAGATAGGGAGGGGGTCGACCTGTGCAGGCTGGCGAGGGGGCACGGTAGCGTCCACATGCTGCTGGTGGTGTGAAAAGGGGATTTTAAGAAGCTGCGAAAGTTTGGGGTACCACTACTTGAAAAATATACTGTACCATTGAAAATTAGTTGAATGTTTGGTTCGATTTAGAACATCTTTCCAATGGTTGCTCAATTTGAAACCATCTTCTCGGTTGAAAGTGTGTCTGTGTTTGTAGATCTGAATTGCCTCGTGAACAAATCTCTGATAAAAACCCGTGGGTTTGGTATCGGAGAAAATGATGATATTTTTTCTCCGATACCAAGGTTCTTTGCTAAACCTCACCTCCTCTATCTCTGTTTCTGCCTTGCCCGCCACGGCGTCCAGAATCCACAGTTTGGACAGAGCAGCACGTGTGTAATTTTTGCGCACGTGCTGCGCCAGGTGTCGGCCCTGCCGCTCCCTGAGCAGCGCACGCTCGTGCAGTGGCTGCACAGGTGAGTTTTCCCATCTCAAAACCAGAGCCCACACAACCCACATGATATGCACGGCCACTCAAAAATAATAGTTTTCTTGCTAACTAATTTCTTGCTCAAATTAACAATGTGAAGCTTTTTTTTCCATCAGTTTACAGCCTGGAGCCAGTGGTGTAAATGTCTAATTCCCCTGGTAGCTGTGAGACTATCCACAGTTGGGGGAATTAATCTTTTCAATTTAAAATCGATCATTTTAAAAGTCATAGAATCGATAATCGAATCTTGTTCAATTTCAGTGATAATCGACCCAATTGGGACATAAGAACATTTAATCCGTGCAACGTTTTCAATATGATCAGTGACATGACTGCCCATCATGTAGAAAAAAAACAGAACCTTTTTGTCATTCCACTGCTGGATTAAGGTCTCACTCCAACATGTCAGTTGTGGGACTCGTTTCATTAAAGTTCATCATGTTGGTCAGTATGCGGTCGGTGAAGGCTGATGAAGCAAAAACGAATATTCTCATATTTTTGCATGCAATTTTTTGATAACGCTTAAAAAAAATAACATTAACAGACCTACCGCTGTTGCAGCAGCTACAGGATCTGGCAAAGAGGGTAGAAAGCCTTGATAGCGAGGTGTGGTGAGGTCCAACGGCTTTGGCCACGGTGACGTCCCGATCTCGAGTGCCGGCGTTGCGTGCGATGGCAGGCTGCACATCTCGCGGTTCCGGGCGTTGCTCGGGCAGCTGCACGCGCTGGTGTCGCTGCGCCTGAGCCAGGACGAAGGCGCTCAGCTCCCACCGCCGGCCAAGAGCAGCTGGTGGATCCCGGCTGCCGTGCGCGTCACGGCCCTGCTCTGTCAGTTCCTCCACGCGCCGCGCCCACCTGGAGCCTGCCGCACACACACCAGCATGCAGTCTGTCGCAGTGCACAGCACTGGACATGCTCGCACCATCCGGAATATACCCACACTGCATTGTCCCACAGTGCATTGTCCCACAGTGCACCGACCCACACTGCCCCAACCCACACTGCACCGACCCACACTGCACCGACCCACACTGCATTGTCCCACAGTGCACCGACCCACACTGCCCTGATCCACACTGCCCTGACCCACACTGCCCTGACCCACACTGCCTTGACCCACACTGCATTGTCCCACAGTGCCCCGACCCACGCTGCATCGACCCACACTGCCCTGATCCACACTGCCCTGACCCACACTGCCCCAACCCACACTGCCTCGACCCACACTTCACCGACCAACTCTTCACCCAGCCAAAATGCACAACCACACTACCGTGCCGACCTTCATAGGTCCTCGTTAATGGCACTTGCCCCAACAGTCTGTTAAGGCTATATAGGGGATCTTTATTTTTGCATTTTATGTGCGTGTCAGATGCAGCCAATGTGCTGGGTGCATCCCCTCGGCTGCCTTACTCCGAGTTCTACAATTCTTCTCTCGACCACGTGGACCTGACCCAGGAGTACCTTGCTTGGCAGTGCAACCCACGTGCCAAAAGGTGCTACTCCCACCCCCCCCCCCCCCCCCGCGTGGCCCACCACACAGGCATCAAAGATCCGCCGTATAGCCTGAACAGACTGTTGGGGCAAGTGCTGTTAGCGAGCACCTATGAAGGCCAGCACGGCCACGAGGGGGTGGGTGGCCAGCACCATGCCCGGCCGCCTTTGTCTCCCTAGTGGCAATGTTTACACACTGCACTAGGTACTCATTTGAGGCTGAGTCGACCTAAGGGAGGCCCAGGACCGGTTCAGATAATCGTCACTGGTGTGGGCCGTGAGTGGGCATCGAACTTGGGTTGCTGGGTTCGTAGCGGAGCGTAGCGCGAAGCGCTGCACTACCGCTCCCCACAGCCATCACTACACTACACACACACGGTAGTTGATAATGATGTAAAAAGCAAAGATATGTGATGCGATGTGTTAACTGTTGAGTGGTGTCGTGGGTGAGGGTAATGAGAGTGGAGTGGTGAGGTGTGATAGTGGTGTGGTGGGTGAGGATAATGAGATTGGTGTCGGCATGTCAGGTGTGCATTACGGTAGTGCGAGTGGTGGTGTGGTGCTGTGATAGTGGTGCAAGGATGGTGAGTAGTGTGGTGGAGACGGGTAGTGTAGGTGGCAAGAGTCGTGCAATGATGAAAGTGGTGCGGTGCTAATCGATGAGAGTGCTCAGGTGGTGTAGAGTGAGTCTAGTGAGGACTGGTGAAAATGGCGTGGAAGTTAAGGGCAGTTTAGGGAAGGTGGTGTGGTGCTGTGCTCCGGCAGGTTCTCATTTTGCCAGTTTCCATGGATGCTGTCCATCCACGCCAAGAAGGCCATCATCCAGCAGGACTCGGAGCAGCAGATGGTCACCATGGCCAGGGTGTGGTGGCGCACACTTCCATGTCTCTCACGTGTTAATTTACCTAAAAATCATCACTCGGTTGCATTTTATGTTGAGCATTTCCACTGCAGTGTACAACACTGCATGACGGTAGAAGTCTGTTATGCCCTGCTGTAGCGGCAAAGGTGCGACCATTTTGGCCTTATTACCATTCTGAATCTGTCCATTACATTTGTCCTGCGTGTTAGAGTACCTCGTTTAAAAATGCAGCGGAACTGTAAATGTATCACGGCGCTGTGCGTGCGCGTGTGTCTGTCGCTGGTGCTGCTGGTGATTTGCCGGGGTCGTGCAACCAGCGCAGTGTGGTGGAGCGCGTCTCTCGCCGGGAGCGGCCCGACGTCGACTCACTGTTCCTCACCCTGAGAGTGCGACGTGCACACCTCGTGGTCGACTCACTCAGCGAGGTTCCGGCACACCAACTACCACGGCAGCACACCAACTATCACGGCAGTCACACTGCCACTAGTGACATACCAACACCAGCAACGCAACCACCAATGCACCACCAGCAGCACACCACCACAATCATACCATCACCACCCGCACAGCTACAAACACGACAGCACACGGACACCAATACACCGGCACGATACCATCCGTACACCATAATATGACCGTATAACACCACCAGAACACTACCAGCAATTGCATTAGCACACTCCCACGAATACACCACCACTACCACCACACCCCCAGCAGTACACCACCACTACCACACCCCCAGCAGTACACCACCACTACCACACCCCCAGCAGTACACCACCACTACCACACCCCCAGCAGTACACCACCACTACCACACCCCCAGCAGTACACCACCACTACCACACCATCCCCTCCAGCATGCACCAGCACAACACGACTGCGGCACTCCGGCACGTGCACTGTGACGCGAGAGGGTGTACTTCGTCGGGGTGGTCGGCGATTCGTCGCAAAGCTCTTGGATGTATACGTATGTACGTTGAACTTTTTTCGCACCGTACGTAGCCTACCATGCTAATTGGGAGGTGCGGGGGAGTAGGAGAACAAACTGAACACACTCCTGGCCCGCCCTTGCAGCTGGCGCGCAAGCGTGCCGAGCTGAAGAAGAAGCTGCGCGTGGAGTTTGTTGGCGAGGTGGGGCTTGACATGGGCGGCCTCACCAAGGAGTGGTTCCTGCTGCTCATCCGACAGGTCCTGCGCCCCGACTACGGTGGGTGATTGCCGACCTCCAGCTGGAAGTTGACAACTCAAATGCGGCTGGGCGTGGTGCTAGCCGCGACACCCCCTCGTTCGCCTTCGTCGGTCTTCGTTAACGGCACTGGCCCCAACGGCTCGATTATTTTGCTGCTATAGATTTTCAAACGATGATCCACTCTGTTGAGCTATAATTTGTGGCCAGGTCACTTCTGAAAAATCTGTTAATAGCTCAGTAGGCTTTAACTGGTAAAATAAAAATAGTTTAGTTTTATTTGTATATTTTTTGAAGCTTTATAGCTCAATCGGATTCCTCGAGTATAAATAAATATTCTGATTCTGAATGCTATCATCGGGGGATCTTTGTCTTTGTGTCCCTGAGGGTTGCATGCAGGAATGTTCGTGTACCACAGGGAGGCACGCTGCTACTGGTTCCGCAGCTTCAACTGCGACAACTACTCGGAGTTCTCTCTCATCGGGACCGTATCTTTGCGGAAAGGGAGGGATCACATAAACACTTTTACATTTTGTAAACATATAATTGTATATATATACACGAGAGCTCACAAAACTGTGGCGCATTCTTGCATGCACGTAGAGTTAGGTAGCCGTGTTCATTTTGTGACCGATTTAGAATGGCACTGCAAAGGGGTGGGGCTACCTGAGCAGTGGGCGGAGTTAGCTGCAGAAAAGGTGGGGCCTGTGAACAGCAAGGCTACGCACTGGGCGGGACTAGCGATCGAGTGGGCGTGGCTATGTAAAAGTCGGTGGGGCTTAAGTCGGGGCTGCCAGCCCACCACGTGTCCTGGTGGAGCCTCCCAGGAATTTGTTGGCCGCAGCTATCGTGGAAGGCCAGAGTTCCAGCTTTGATTATTCCTCGTTAACCGAAAGTTCCTACCTCAGCTGATGGGGCTCGCTGTGTACAACAGCATACCCCTGGACCTTCACTTCCCGCTGTGCTGCTACCGCAAGCTGCTGAGCCCGCCGCTGGCGCCCAGCGAGCCCGGCGTGCCTGTGGGGCTCTGCGCGCTCACGCTCGGCGACCTGGGCTGCGTCATGCCGGTACCGCGCGCCCCACGCGCTAACGGCACATCCCTAGCGCGTCGTTAAACCGCTCGCGCTGCGGGGCTGTGCGGCAACATTCCACCCCACGGGTGCCCCAGTCTCTCTCGCGTTGGCACGTTGCACCCTTAGGGCTGGCTCCTGTGGCACGTTCGTGATTTAGAGACGAAGCAATGCGCTTAGAAGCACAGTAGTTAGATGTACGCTTGGCTCACCAGTCGATGTTGCGGGTGTGCTGTAAGTTAAAACACAAATGCATTTGGTGTGATGGTGGAGTGATATGTGATGGTGTGCTGTGCCTCTACCCACTCTGTGATGTCGGTGTGGCTTGTGACGCTGTACCCCGTGTCATCGTGGTGATGGTCCTGTTGGTGTGGAGTGTGATTAAGTCTTGCCCTGTACCATCGCCTCCCAGGAGCTGGCACACGGGCTGCAGGAGCTGCTTCTGTACGAAGGCGACGTGGAAACGGACATGTGTGCTACCTTCCAGGTGATCTTTCCCCCCTTCCTCCTCGCACCTCACCCTGTAATCACCCTCATTCACCAATTCACCACCCACACCAACTCACCCCGCGCACCTGATTTGCACTCACCCTTACTGCCAGGTATCGAGTGATGAGTTTGGTTCTGTGAGAAGCCACGAGCTGTGTCCAGGAGGTGCCTCCATCCCTGTCACCAATCTGAACCGAGACGGTGAGTGGAGTCAAGCCAGGGCTGGGTGGTGTCACTTTGAAGGTTAGGAAGGGTTGATGTGGTGGAATAGACATGCTTATATGTGTCTGTCATGGGCCACGTGATACGCAGTTGAGCTGTTCGTGTGCTAAGTAGGGTTAGGTGCAGTCGTTGTAGGCACGCAATGTCAGCTGACAATCGTGGATTTTACTCTCTAGGCAATGGATTTCAAAAGTTGCTGCTTGGGCTTGTAGGCGCAATCATAGACATTTTCTTAAGACTGCATCAGGTATTACAGAAATAAATTAGCGGATTATGCATTACAGAAATAAATTAGCGGATTATGCTGAGTGCCGGTCAATCTCACATTCATATTTCGCTGAATACCAGTTCAAGACAAGGGAGGAAACGTTTAACCAGTGGTGACCCTTTAGCTTGGGCAGTTAGCATTTGCTTCGTGGTTAGAGTTACGTGCACCGATATAAAGTCCGGGTTGGCTGGAAATTAGTTGTATGTGTTGTGTGAAGTTTAGCATTGCTTCTGGACATTTTACCAGAATACCCGAGACTCATGACGATGCTTCAGTTGCCTCTGGACCATCAGTGCTTGCGTGTCCCTGATAGTACTGTGGAATGTGCGTGAACCCCCAGAGTTTGTGGCCATGTACGTGGATTACCTTCTCAACACGTCGGTGTGCCAGCGGTTCGCTGCCTTCTACCACGGCTTCCACAGCGTGTGCACCTCTCCGGCACTCGCAGTGCGTACACACCCACACGCACAGCGAGCGTGCGCGCATCCACACACAAGCTGTGTGTACACGTACGTACATGCCGAGTGTGCACGCACGTACGCCTGTGTATGCAGGGAGGGAAAAAAGTATTTGATCCCCTGCTGATGTACGTTTGCCCACTGACAAAGAAATGATCAGTCTATAATTTTAATGGTAGGTTTATTTGAACAGTGAGAGACAGAATAACAACAACAAAATCCAGAAAAACGCATGTCATAATGTTATAAATTGATTTGCATTTTAATGAGAGAAGTAAGTATTTGACCCCTCTGCAAAACATGACTTAGTACTTGGTGGCAAAACCCTTGTTGGCAATCACAGAGGTCAGACGTTTCTTGTAGTTGGCCACCAGGTTTGCACACATCTCAGGAGGGATTTTGTCCCACTCCTCTTTGCAGATCTTCTTCAAGTCATTAAGGTTTCGAGGCTGACGTTTGGCAACTCGAACCTTCAGCTCCTTCCACAGATTTTCTATGGGATTAAGGTCTGGAGACTGGCTAGGCCACTCCAGGACCTTAATGTGCTTCTTCTTGAGCCACTCCTTTGTTACCTTGGCCGTGTGTTTTGGGTCATTGTCATGCTGGAATACCCATCCATGACCCATTTTCAATGCCTTTGCTGAGGGAAGGAGGTTCTCACCCAAGATTTAACGGTACATGGCCCCGTCCATCATCCTTTTGATGTGGTGAAGTTGTCCTGTCCCCTTAGCAGAAAAATACCCCCAAAGCATAATGTTTCCACCTCCATGTTTAACGGTGGGGATGGTGTTCTTGGGGTCATAGGCAGCATTCCTCCTCCTCCAAACACGGCGAGTTGAGTTGATGCCAAAGAGCTCCATTTTGGTCTCATCTTACCACAACACTTTCACCCAGTTATCCACTGAATCATTCAGATGTTCATTGGCAAACTTCAGACGGGCATGTATATGTGCTTTCTTAACCAGGGGGACCTTGCGGGCGCTGCAGGATTTCAGTCCTTCACGGCGTAGTGTGTTACCAATTGTTTTCTTGGTGACCATGGTCCCAGCTGCCTTGAGATCATTGATAAGATCCTCCCGTGTGGTTCTGGGCTGATTCCTCACCGTTCTCATGATCATTGCAACTCCACGAGGTGAGATCTTGCATGGAGCCCCAGGCCGAAGGAGATTGACAGTTCTTTTGTGTTTCTTCCATTTGCGAATAATTGCACCAACTGTTGTCACCTTCTCACCAAGCTGCTTGGCAATGGTCTTGTAGCCCATTCCAGCCTTGTGTAGGTCTACAATCTTGTCCCTGACATCCTTGGAGAGCTCTTTGGTCTTGGCCATGGTGGAGAGTTTGGAATCTGATTGATTAATTGCTACTGTGGACAGGTGTCTTTTATACAGGTAAGAAGCTGAGATTAGGAGCACTCCCTTTAAGAGTGTGCTCCTAATCTCAGCTCGTTACCTGTATAAAAGACACCTGGGAGCCAGAAATCTTTCTGATTGAGAGGGAGTCAAATACTTATTTCCCTCATTAAAATGCAAATCAATTTATAACATTTTTGACATGCGTTTTTCTGGATTTTGTTGTTATTCTGTCTCTCACTGTTCATATAAACCTACCATTAAAATTAAAGACTGATAATTTCTTTGTCAGTGGGCCAACATACAAAATCAGCAGGGGATCAAATACTTTTTTCCCTCACTGTACACGCACAGCCATCTGTTTCCACGTACTTTAAAGCTCACTTGTTCACTTTTTACCCTCACCTGTACGCTCACTCTTGATCCATGCACGCAATAGCGTTCACATACCTCTCTGTGTGGTCAGTAATTGGAGGAAGGGGACTTCTGTGGACCTTTGTAGAAGCCCCATGTACTCCTTTAGAGAAGCTCTGTCGCGGATATCCACATACATGGGCTGCATACACTTTCCGTACACACCGGGCTGTGCACACCCATGCGTCGGCTTGCAGATGTTGCGTGCGGAGGAGGTGGAGACGCTCGTGTGCGGCTCCGCGACCCTGGACCTCCGGGCCCTGCAGTCGGCCACTGAATATGAGGGCTACACCGCCAGCGACCCCACTGTGCGGTGAGTCACACTCACCGACTCGTCCACACACCGACTCATTGCACATTGTGAACACTCACTCACACACCGACTCGCCATCACTCGCCATCGCATTGACTCACCCGCACACCGACTCACTCACACACCGACTCACCATCGGCCACAAACGCATTGGCTCACCCGCAGACCCTTGCAGCCTACACTCGCCCCCACACACTGACTTGAGAGGAGCAAGGTAGGAGAGCGTGAGTGGAGTAGAGCAATGTGAGAGGGGAGAGGTGGGCAGGGGTGGGTCCGTGGAGGATCCTGAAGGTGGTGATGGTGTACGGCTGTGCGTGCCATCCAGGTATTTCTGGGAGGTGGTGCACGAATTCGCCCTCGACCTGCAGAAACGCCTCCTGCACTTTGCGACGGGAAGCGACCGGGTGCCAGTGGGCGGTGTGCAGGAGCTGCACTTCAAGATTTCACGCATCCACGTGCCCACTGACTGGTAGGTACCCCCCCCCCCCACAGTGCATCCACGTGCCCACTGACTGGTAGGTACCCCCCCCCCCCACAGTGCATCCACGTGCCCACTGACTGGTAGGTACCCCCCCCCCCCACAGTGCATCCACGTGTCCACTGACTGGTAGGTACCCCCCCCCCACAGTGCATCCACGTGCCCACTGACTGGTAGGTACCCCCCCCCCCACAGTGCATCCACGTGCCCACTGACTGGTAGGTACCCCCCCCCCCACAGTGCATCCACGTGCCCACTGACTGTGCTATGAACCCGTCAACCTAAATTTGATTCTGGGTCACTGCTAACATCAGTGGCTAGTGATTATCTGAACTGGATCAGGGCCTCCTTTAGGTTAACTCGGCCCTAAATTAGTACCCGGTGCCTTATGTAAATGTCAGTGTTTGGTGAAGAAAAAGACGGACGGACATAGTGCTGGCCACACCACCTCCTCCACGCACCGTGCTGGCCTCCATAGATGCTCGCTAGCAAGCACGTGCCGCTGTTGCCTAACGAGGGGCTCCACGGGGGGGATCTGTGCGTTTGTTTTGTGCGAGCGCAGGCTGCCCGTGGCGCACACGTGCTTTAACCAGCTGTGCCTGCCCCCGTACCGCTCCCGCCGCTCCCTGCGGACCAAGCTGTGCATCGCCATCTCCAACTCGGAGGGCTTCGGCCTCGAGTGACCGACCAAGAGGTCGTCTCGGATGCCACTGCCTGGATGGGCGGCCTCCACGCCTGGACGGTGCTAGGGGCTGCCGCGGCGCGACGTTGTGTGTGGCGATGGGCGGCGATGGGCGGCGATGGGCGGCGCAGAAACATTCGCCGGTTTTGCCGAATCGTGCTTCTTGCGCTCCCTCGTCTACGCCGTCTGCCTCCACCGGCCCGCACTGGGCAGCATTGTCGGCGAAGGCCCCTGGGCCCGCAGGGCAGTTGCACGGCCTGAGCACTCGACAGTTCATGCCGCTGCGGACCACCATTGTGATGGTGTGTTGGAGTTCAGTAGTGCCTGGTTGTGTTGCAGTAAAACCCCGCTGCCCGTCCCAGTGGTCCCATAGCTGTTTTGTATAAACTCACTCACTACCGTCCGTGTTTTACTTGGGTAGAGCGGTGCTGCGGTGGTTCGTGCACTGCGCTAGTTGCCCAGCGACCAGAGTTCAATTCCCGGCCATGACCAACGTCAGTTGCGAGCGATGTCCGAACCGTTGCTTGGCCCCCACTTCACCAACCCGCACTGACCAGCGTGGTGAAGTATGGTCAAACGATCCCCATTAATGACGTGACATGGGGGGGGGAATTCCTTTTAGCCAGCAGTAAGGACAGTACGTGGGTTATTCGTGTGGCTATCAAACCACAAATGCTACACTAAGAGGTAGATTGACAAAGGCCTGTAATTAATGTATTTTCCGAAACACATAGTTTGCAAATATATTAACGTGTAATTATATAAAAGATAAATAGTTGCCGCTTTGAAGATAGAGGTCATTGATGAAACACCCTCGTCTCTTCTTCACACTGGGAATGTTACATTGTGTTTTTAACTTTTAATCTGGTAAAGCGTGAGTACAGGAGGCATGCCAAGTGCACTTTGTTGCTACCTCTAATAAACTTGGTGTTGTCATGTCGGTGTCTCCGTAGACCCTTTTTTTTACATTACAAATCCTACTTGGCCACGAGTAAGGGGAAGGTTCACCCACACCTGCTGCCTTGACTACCCCAGCTGCGGCTGCGAGGCACAGGCAACACAGCCTCGAGATGCTTGCCGCCTTTGGCTAGCGCAGGCTTTGGATGCTGCTATTGGAGGCGACTGATTGGATGATCTCGAGTGGAAGAGGCAGCTTAGGTGGCGCGTGTGAACTCGTCGCGCCAGATGAGGTCTGAATGTCCAGGTTTGAATGTCCAGGTTTAAATGTCCAGGTTTGAATTTCCAGGTTTAAATGTCCAGATTTGAATGTCCAGGTTTAAATGTCCAGGTTTGAATGTCCAGGTTTAAATGTCCAGATTTGAATGTCCAGGTTTAAATGTCCAGGTTTGAATGTCTAGGTTTAAATGTCCAGGTTTGAATGTCCAGGTTTGAATGTCCAGGTTTAAATGTCCAGGTTTGAATGTCCAGGTTTGAATGTCCAGGCTTGAATGTCCAGGTTTAAATGTCCAGGTTTAAATGTCCAGATTTGAATGTCCAGGTTTGAATGTCCAGGTTTAAATGTCCAGGTTTGAATGTCCAGGTTTGAATGTCCAGATTTGAATGTCCAGGTTTGAATGTCCAGGTTTGAATGTCCAGGTTTGAATGTCCAGGTTGGAATGTCCAGGTTTAAATGTCCAGGTTTGAATGTCCAGGTTTGAATGTCCAGGTTTAAATGTCCAGGTTTGAATGTCCAGGTTTGAATGTCCAGGTTTAAATGTCCAGGTTTAAATGTCCAGATTTGAATGTCCAGATTTGAATGTCCAGGTTTAAATGTCCAGGTTTGAATGTCCAGGTTTAAATGTCCAGATTTGAATGTCCAGGTTTAAATGTCCAGGTTTAAATGTCCAGGTTTAAATGTCCAGGTTTGAATGTCCAGGTTTAAATGTCCAGGTTTGAATGTCCAGGTTTGAATTTCCAGGTTTGAATGTCCAGGTTTGAATGTACAGGTTTAAATGTCCAGGTTTGAATGTCCAGGTTTAAATGTCTAGGTTTGAATGTCCAGGTTTTAATGTCCAGGTTTGAATGTCCAGGTTTAAATGTCCAGGTTTGAATGTCCAGTATTGAATGTGCAGGTTTGAATGTCCAGATTTGAATGTTCGGTTTGAATGTCCGGTTTGAATGTCCAGGTTTAAATGTCCAGGTTTGAATGTCCAGGTTTGAATGTCCAGGTTTGAATGTCCAGGTTTAAATGTCCAGCTGTAATTGATTTCAAGAGTTTTTTCGGGTCATTTCCAGGGCACGCTACGAAATTATTTTTGAGAAGTCTGCCTATTGCCGCCGGAAGAGTGGCAGTCACTGGTGGTTTTCGGCTTGGCGACTTTGATGTAATGACAGAAAAAACACGCTGGATTACAAAAAATATACGTTGCATTTAACTCGCTGAGCCTGCAAATTAAACCGTGAGCGTGCAAAGATGCAGACCCCGTGGAGACTCCCCAACATTTCGGGAGTTTATCGGTAACCGCTGGCCACACACGTGAGCCGCGTGCGAGCCGTGCGCGCGTCCCTCGTGAGAATTCAAAGTGACCCCCATCCCACGTCCACCGCTGACTCTGCCAATGCGGGCTTCGTGGTTTGCGCGGGAGGGAGGAGGAGTGAGCCAGACACCTGACTCACTGAGACACCTGGCTCACACAGACACCTGGCTCACCCATAACACGTGGCTCACTCAGACACCTGGCTCACAGACACCTGGCTCATTCAGACATCTGGCTCACTCAGACACCCCCGCGGGGTGCCTCGGTCTGGCTCCGAACTTCACGAACCCCACGACGCCGAGCGGCAGACACGAGGCGGGGTTCATGGTATGGGTTGGTGCCATGGAGCTCGACCCAGATTCTGCAAATCCTTCCTGATCAAGACGGGGGCCATGAACCCCGCCTCGTGTCTGCCGCTCGGCGTCGTGGGGTTCGTGAAGTTCGGAGCCAGACCGAGGCACCCCGCGGGGGTGTCTGAGTGAGCCAGGTGTCTGAGTGAGCCAGGTGTCTGTGTGAGCCAGGTGTCTGTGTGAGCCAGGTGTCTGAGTGAGCCAGGTGTCTGAGTGAGCCAGGTGTCTGTGTGAGCCAGGTGTCTGAGTGAGCCAGGTGTCTGAGTGAGCCAGGTGTCTGTGTGAGCCAGATGTCTGAGTGAGCCAGGTGTCTGAGTGAGCCACGTGTCTGGGTGAGCCAGGTGTCTCAGTGAGCCAGGTGTCTGAGTGAGCCAGGTGTCTGGGTGAGCCAGGTGTCTGTGTGAGCCAGGTGTCTGAGTGAGCCAGGTGTCTGGGTGAGCCAGGTGTCTGTGTGACCCAGGTGTCTGTGTGAGCCAGGTGTCTGGGTGAGCCAGGCGTCTGAGTAAGCCAGGTGTCTGAGTGAGCCAGGTGTCTCAGTGAGCCAGGTGTCTGGGTGAGCCAGGTGTCTGTGTGAGCCAGGTGTCTGGGTGAGCCAGGTGTCTGAGTGAGCCAGGTGTCTAAGTGAGCCAGGTGTCTGGGTGAGCCAGGTGTCTGTGTGACCCAGGTGTCTGTGTGAGCCAGGTGTCTGGGTGAGCCAGGCGTCTGAGTAAGCCAGGTGTCTGAGTGAGCCAGGTGTCTCAGTGAGCCAGGTGTCTGGGTGAGCCAGGTGTCTGAGTGAGCCAGGTGTCTAAGTGAGCCAGGTGTCTGTGTGACCCAGGTGTCTGTGTGAGCCAGGTGTCTGGGTGAGCCAGGCGTCTGAGTAAGCCAGGTGTCTGTGTGAGCCAGGTGTCTGAGTGAGCCAGGTGTCTGTGTGAGCCAGGTGACTGAGTGAGCCAGATGTCTGTGTGAGCCAGATGTCTGTGTGAGCCAGGTGTCTGATTGAGCCACGTGTCTGGGTGAGCCAGGTGTCTGTGTGAGCCAGGTGTCTGGGTGAGCCAGGTGTCTGTGAGCCATGTGTCTGTGTGAGCCAGGTGTCTGATTGAGCCACGTGTCTGGGTGAGCCAGGTGTCTGTGTGAGCCAGGCGTCTGAGTAAGCCAGGTGTCTGAGTGAGCCAGGTGTCTGTGTGAGCCAGGTGACTGAGTGAGCCAGGTGTCTGGGTGAGCCAGGTGTCTGTGTGAGCCAGGTGTCTGTGTGAGCCAGATGTCTGAGTGAGCCAGGTGTCTGAGTGAGCCACGTGTCTGGGTGAGCCAGGTGTCTCAGTGAGCCAGGTGTCTGTGTGAGCCAGGTGTCTGAGTGAGCCAGGTGTCTGAGTGAGCCAGGTGTCTCAGTGAGCCAGGTGTCTGTGAGCCAGGTGTCTGGGTGAGCCAGGTGTCTGGGTGAGCCAGGTGTCTAAGTGAGCCAGGTGGCTGTGTGAGCCAGGTGTCTGGGTGAGCCAGGTGTCTGAGTGAGCCAGGTGTCTAAGTGAGCCAGGTGTCTGTGACCCAGGTGTCTGTGTGAGCCAGGTGTCTGGGTGAGCCAGGCGTCTGAGTAAGCCAGGTGTCTGTGTGAGCCAGGTGTCTGTGTGAGCCAGGTGTCTGGGTGAGCCAGGTGTCTGTGAGCCAGGTGTCTGCGTGAGCCAGGTGTCTGAGTGTGTGGAGCCATAGTGTAGCGGTTAGCGCGCTGCGCTATGAACCTGGCGACCCGGGTTCGATTCCCGCTCACGGCCAACACCAGTGACGATTATCTGAACCGGTCCCGGGCCTCCCCTAGGTCGACTCAGCCTCAAATGAGTACCTCGTGCGGTGTGTAAACATCGCGACTAGGGAGACAAAGGCGGTCGGGCGTGGTGCTGGCCACCCACCCCCTCGTGTACCGTTCCGGCCTTCATAGGTGATCGCTAACAGAACTTGCCCCTACAGTCTATTAAGGCTATATGGGGGATCTTTGATCTTTGTGTGAGCCAGGTATCTGTGTGAGCCAGGTGTCTGAGTAAGCCAGGTGTCTGAGTGAGCCAGGTGTCTGGGTGAGCCAGGTGTCTGTGTGAGCCAGGTGTCTCAGTGAGCCAGGTGTCTCAGTGAGCCAGGTGTCTCAGTGAGCCAGGTGTCTGTGTGAGCCAGGTGTCTGAGTGAGCCAGGTGTCTGTGTGAGCCAGGTGTCTGTGTGAGCCAGGTGTCTGAGTGAGCCAGGTGTCTCAGTGAGCCAGGTGTCTGGGTGAGCCAGGTGTCTGTGTGAGCCAGGTGTCTCAGTGAGCCAGGTGTCTGTGTGAGCCAGGTGTCTGAGTGAGCCAGGTGTCTGTGTGAGCCAGGTGTCTGTGTGAGCCAGGTGTCTGTGTGAGCCAGGTGTCTGTGTGAGCCAGGTGTCTGTGTGAGCCAGGTGTCTGTGTGAGCCAGGTGTCTGAGTGAGCCACGTGTCTGTGTGAGCCAGGTGTCTGGGTGAGCCAGGCTTCTCAGTGAGCCAGGTGTCTGTGTGAGCCAGGTGTCTGAGTGAGCCAGGTGTCTGGGTGAGCCAGGTGTCTGGGTGAGCCAGGTGTCTGTGTGAGCCAGGTGTCTGAGTGAGCCAGGTGTCTCAGTGAGCCAGGTGTCTCAGTGAGCCAGGTGTCTGTGTGAGCCAGGTGCTTGAGTGAGCCAGGTGTCTGTGTGAGCCAGGTGCTTGAGTGAGCCAGGTGTCTCAGTGAGCCAGGTCGTCCGAGTGAGCCAGGTGTCTCAGTGAGCCAGGTGTCTGTGTGAGCCAGGTGTCTGAATGAGCCAGGTGTCTGTGTGAGCCAGGTGCTTGAGTGAGCCAGGTGTCTGTGTGAGCCAGGTGTCTGGGTGAGCCAGGTGTCTGAGTGAGCCAGGTGTCTGTGTGAGCCAGGTGTCTGGGTGAGCCAGGTGTCTGTGTGAGCCAGGTGTCTGTGTGAGCCAGGTGTCTGGGTGAGCCAGGCTTCTCAGTGAGCCAGGTGTCTGTGTGAGCCAGGTGTCTGAGTGAGCCAGGTGTCTGGGTGAGCCAGGTGTCTGGGTGAGCCAGGTGTCTGTGTGAGCCAGGTGTCTGAGTGAGCCAGGTGTCTCAGTGAGCCAGGTGTCTCAGTGAGCCAGGTGTCTGTGTGAGCCAGGTGCT